CGCCCCCGCCGCCCTCCCCCGAGCCCCGAACAAGCGGGGATGGAGCGGACCCGAGCTCCGGGACTCGCGCTGCCACCCTACGAGCCTCTGGTGGAGGGTTTGGACATGGAGAACATGTCCCGAAGCGTCGTGGTGCCCGTGGAGCCCCCCCCGGTGCAGGCTCCCCCCCGCGACCACCTGGCTTGGTCGCTGTGCTCCACGCTGTACAGCAATGTCTGCTGCCTCGGCTTCCTGGCGCTCGTCTTCTCCGTCAAGGTTTGGGGAAAAAGGGGAACAGGGACGGGGATGGGGTGAGGAGGGGGTCGGGGGTAGTGCTGGCACCCGGGGGGTGGTGGGGTGGTGGCCGCGCAAAGTGGGGGGGATGGAGCCGGGGAGTCCCAAAAGCCCAGCTCTAGGATGCGCCGTGGACCCCACAGAGTTCCTTTGGAGCCCCCCAAAATCACAAAGCCTGGGGTTGCCCTGTGGACCCGCAGAGCACCAAAAGTCCTAGCCGTGGGTTAATGGGTGGACCCCACAGAGCCCCTGACCCTAGGGAGACCCATGGACCTCCCCAAATCCCCCATCCTGGAGGTGACCCCACAGAGAGCTCCGCAGACCCTCTGGAGCCCCAAGTCCAGGATGCTCCATGGGTCGCCCAAAGCCCCCATCCTACAGCCCCCTCTCCCCAGCCCTGACCCCTACTGACTCCGGCTTTGGTCTCCCCAGTCCAGGGATCGCAAAGTCCTCGGCGACTACAGCGGGGCGCTCAGCTACGGCTCCACCGCCAAGTACCTGAACATCACGGCCCTGCTGCTCAACATCTTCTTCATCATCCTCATCATCGCCCTGATCGCGAGCGGCACCATCACCGTCGTCAACCTGCTCCACCATCAGCAGCAGCAGGGCGACCACCCCTTCTACGGCCCCACATAGCCCCTTCCCCGGCACCGGGGGCAGAACTCGGCCCGCTGCAGCCCCCGCCGCCCCTCGGAGCAGGGCTGAGACCCCCGTGCAGCCCCTCCAGCACTTGCTGGGGTCTTGCCCTGCTTCCCTTGCTGCTCCAAGTCCCTCTGACCACCGCTCAAAGCGCCTCGTGACACCTCTCCTCCGGTGGGAGCCGAGCCCCCTTTGGGAAGGGGACGCACATGCTTTGCCACTTGCTTTGCTCTGGCTTTTTTTTTATATATAGCCCCAAATACCGTCTTGTCAGGAGAAGAAGTGGTTTTAATAAAGGTTTCTTTCACTTTTGTCCATGGCTCATCCTTTTTTTTTTCCTTTTTTTTTTTTTTTGGGGGGGGGGGGAGTCCCGTAGCCCAGCTTTTTGGGACAGGGAAATGGTGGCTGTCCTAGTGAAGCACTGCCATGGGACAACTGTCCCCTCTGTCACCCTCGGTGCACGCAGCATTGCGGGGATGCTCCGAAATACGCAGACTGGTGAACCCAGCTCAATGCATTGGGATAGGATGGACCATGGCAAGGATGAAGGCAGGAGGGAAGAGTGTCCCCGTCCCTGGGGTGCCACCACCATCACCCCTACCCCTAGAGATGCAGGCAGGCTTCATCGGGGGGCAGGGAGGTGCAAAAAGGGTTTTGGCCCAGCTCGGGGCAGTGAGGGGACGGGAGAGGCTTCCAGGAGGAGGGGGGAGCCAGGGGTGGGATGGCCCCATCCCAAATCACCTGCGATGGGGAAGCACCACCAGGTGACAGAGGCACGGGGTGCTTTGGAGGACAAGTGAGATGGCAACACCTCTCCCCTCCTCTCCAAAACTTCTCAGCCTCGCCCCATCCTGCCAGCCCCCCTCCCTCAGCCCAGCCGAAGGGTGATGTAAAAAAAAAAAATCACGCCCGTGGCTTTCATGGCTTCAGCCATGTCCAAATTGACCCAGGAAAGGCCCAGACCACCTGGACAAAAGTCCCGGACGAAGCCGATCTGGCAGAGGTTCAGGTATGTGTTTGGCCTGCCCTTCCTGCTCCCCAGCTCGCTGGAAGCCTTCGCTCTGCTCCCCAGGGCTGGGGCCCCGCCAAGCTGAGAGAAAGCCTTTGATTTTTTTTGTTTCCTTGAGAACAACTCCTGCCAAGAAGCTCTGCTCATGAGCAAGCCATCCGAAATCCTTCCCGCAACACACAACAGATATTTGTTGCAGGATCCCTGGCAGCATCGGCCGGGTGAATCATTTATTCCTCCTCTCTTTCCCGTAAACGCAAACAGACACGTGCTGCTGGCTGGGAGCAGTGCTCTCGGCCACCTTCCCGAGCAGCCAGCAGGCAATGCATGTCCACAAGCAAGATTTGGGACTCCGTGTTCCCATCCAGCTGCTGAGGTCAAGGAGCCTTGCAAAGGGCGATGAAATCCCTGCTCAGAAACGTTGTCCAGACCTCTCCAGGTCTCAGCAGCGCTGCCTCCTTCTAGTGTTGGCAGCAGCCTGGTCCCGTTATACAAGGTCTTGGCAGGGTGCAGGTGGGCTGGGCTGAGTCCCACCCTCTGCTGCGTGTTCCTCCCCCTCCTCAGCAGCAGGACCCAGCTGAAATCCACCCACCCAAAATCAGAGTGTTTATTACGCATGCCACCTCTCCATCTGACAGTCTCCACAAGCAGCTGACACATGCAAAAACCTGGGGACAATTCCTAAAGACATCCTGCAGCCAAAAGCGGACTTCAGTTCTCCGCTCTGACATCCCATGTGGGGAGTGGGACAGACTCAGCGAGTGCATCCCCAGCCCCAAAACCTCTTCCCTGAGCGTGACCGTGCTTTTCCGTGCGTGGCACAGCTCTGGGAGGCACAGTTCCTTGGGGCCAGATCCCTGCAGGCAATGGGGTGGGAGGGGTCTATGGAAGCAAAGGCCTTATTCTTGGGGTGCACGGGGCAGGGCAGGGGAGTTCCCGCGACATGAACAGCCCGTTTGTGCCCTTGCAGCAATCGCTGAGGGCCGTTGGCAGGCAGCCACCGGGCCACTGAACTCCCTGCCCCGCTCCCAGCAGCGAGCCCAGAGCGAGCAGTGGACTCGGTGAAACCCAGCGCACCACACTCAGCCCAGCTGAGAAACCCTCCGACAGACCTGACAAAAAAATAAAAATCTCATTCTTGCTTTGCAGAGACTTTTCCTCCCTTCATGCAAAAAGCCAGTCGTGGTATTTCACTTTCTCATCCCGTCCCTCTGGTGCTTGGTGCCCTATAGCATCCCCCTAACCCCGCGCAGCCCCCTTCTCACTCCAGCATCCCCCTGGGACTAGTGGGGACTGCGGCCCCCTCCCAGCAGCAGCAAGGGCTGGACTTTGTCTCTTCCTTATGCCTTCTTGTCCCTGTCATTTGCTCAGGTGCAAGAGCAAACTAAAGGCAACACAGGCGACTGCGGGCAGGTGGCAATTTCAGGATGTTCGCGCTGAGCTCATTTAGATAAGACCACAACCGTAAAGCCACCCTCAGGGAGGATTTTTAGAAACCTCAGCGGAGATGTGGGGTCTTTTGGGACGAGCCAGATGCTCATGACCCTCACAGCTGCCAGCACTGTCTGATTTTGCCACCAGCACCTTCACCCTTGGCTTGGGTGAGGCAGAGCAGCGCATTGTGCCCCATGGAGGGACACCTGCAGCTTTTTTGGCAGAGCTGCAGGTCAGGTTTTTGGGTCTTCAGCGCAAACCCAGCCCCAAATCCCTGCTGAGCCCTCTCCCTCCTCCAGCTACAATTCCCCTCCCCGCCAGCCTCTCCACTTAATTGCCACTACGCCCAACTGAACCTCGTTACCTTCAAAGAGCAGCGCCCTGACAATGGGAAAATAGCTTCAGGAACAGGGAAAAAAATGCTTTCTATTCCTAAGGTTTTGAGATAAGCAATGTTGGGGGCCAGGGCTTGGATTTGCACCAAAGCATTCAGGTGGCCAAAAAAGCCATGTGACAGCAAGCACAGGTGGCTGATGCCCTTGATGTGCCCCAGACATGAAACCTCCCAATCTTCAATTTTTCCTGAGTAGGAAAACCCTACTTCTCACAAAAAAAACCAACAGTTGTTTCAGTTTCGTTTTCTCTGCCTCTAACTCATTTCCCCGGGAAACGTGAATTGAATGTGCAGGCTGTTGATGTTTCTGAAACACACACAATGCGTTTGCTCTGTGCATTGGTATTTTTTTAATTCAGGTAATTTTTAACTACTTGCTGCTTTTCTGAACCTTTTTTTTTTTTTTTAGTTCCCCTAATCATTTCAGCAGCTGCAAGACACTACAAAGGAAAGAAATAGATTTATAAAAAAAAAGAAAAGAAAAAGAAAAAAGAAAAAGAAAAAGAAAAAGAAAAAGAAAAAGAAAAAGAAAAAGAAAAAGAAAAAGAAAAAGAAAAGAAAACCCTTCAAACCCAAAGTGCAAAGCCAGTAGCTTTATTCCCCACAGATGAGGATCGAGTCCACAAATCCTCCTGGGGACAAGCAGCACACCCTATGCCCCCTTCCAGCCACCTTGCCCCGTGCCATCGAGAAGCCACCCTTTGCACTCCAGCCTCACCGAATTGCCGTGCCCTTGCTGACACCGTGCGAACGCCTCGACACGAGCTGGCTCCCAAATGCTGGCACTGCTGGGGATGAGATGCAAAAGCTGAAGCAGCTCCGGAGTGGTGTTTTGCAGCCTGTCCCCCCTACAGCTTCAGGATAAGGGCTGTTTGGGGGGCTCGTGGTGGCCCCCATCTGCCCCTACTGCCCTCCGTGTCCGTGCTGGGACAGAACAGCAGCTGGCACAGCCCTGCCCCGCACTCCCCAGGGCACGAATAAAGAAGCATAAAGCAACAAGGACAAGGAGATGAGGACTTTGTCACATCACCCAGCCCATGGACATCCCTTTGGCCCAGCTCCCCATCCTCCCCACAGACTGTGTCTGGCTCCTTGTCGCTCCCCTGTCCCAATCCCAGTGACCCCAAGGCAGCCGGCTAATCTCCAGCTGGGACACGGGGCTGGTTGCCCCCGCCCCAGTGCGGGGCGGGGTGACCCCACCCTGACAAACCCTTCCACTCACCCATAACTGGGCGAGCACAAGCACCGGTGCTCCAGCTCCTCGCTGCTGCCAGGCTACCATGGAGAACTACCCGCAGTCCTTCAGCATCAACATGCAACCCTACGGCAGGAATGGGGGGGCCAGCACCCCCAGCCCCCCGGCCACCTCCTTCGGCCAGGCCACCTCCTTCGGCCAGGCCACCTCTTTCGGCCAGGCCACCTCTTTCGGACAGACGGAGCCCACACCCGTTTCTACCCCGCCACCCAAGGACTTTGTGCTCTGGTCTTTCTTCAACGCCATGTACTGCAACCCCTTCTGCCTGGGCTTCCTCGCTCTTGTCTTCTCCATCAAGGTGAGGGAAAAGTCAGCCTAGTCCCAGCAACCCCCCGCCCAGCCTGAGAGCCCTGGCTGCCACCTGCCCCCACGATTGGGCTCCCCAACCCCATCCCACCCTAGCTTTTCCCATCCCATCTTGTCCCATCCCACCCCAGCTTGACCCAAACCCCATTATCACCACTCTCCCTTCCCTGCCCGTCTGATGTCTCCCCCCTCCATCCTGCCACATCCAGCCCTGCCCCACACCCAACCTCCCCTGGAAAGCCACCATTGGAGGGCCACGTGTCACCTCTCAGCGCTTCACCGTCCCCAAGGGCCGTAGGGAGAGGGGGACCCAGGCACCACGTTGCTCTCGGCTCTTCTCCACTGCCCCCGAGTGCCCCAAATCAGCCGATGGTGTCACAAAGCCATGGAGCTGGCTCCCTGCTCCCCCCCCCACCCCACCCCAAGAGCTTGCCAATGCGCCACGACACTTTTGCCCTACCTGCGATAAGCAGCAGCTGCTCCCCAAGCACCTTCCCTTTATTGCCTTTAAGGCTAATCATTCGTAATGAGCACACAGGGAGGGGAGGGCAGCATTCACCGGCGCCCCGGGAAGCACACTGGGGACCCCCCCTCCTTCTCCCCCATCTCTCCTCCACCGCCAATGCCGCAGCTCCGCAGGACCGGGCAGCATGTGGCCAAGTGTAATGGCTTTTAATAAGCCATTAAGAAATGGCTTTTAGGCTGCCGGGAGCTCTGCTTCCAATCTGGGGGGTGGGGGCTTCCTGAGGGTTTGGCACCTCGTGGATGCCGCTGCCAGGTTTCGGCAAGAGCGGCCGCGTTGCGGTGCTGGAGCCGGGCGGGTGTCTGCGGCCTGCAGGGTGGTGCTCCCTCGCTCCTCTCCCTCTGCAGGCCCGAGATAGGACAGTGGCGAACGACCCCATGGCCGCCAACAGCTACGGGAGGACAGCCAGGAGCCTCAACATCGCAGCGTTATGCCTGGGTATCGTGGGCACCATCATCCTTGTGGTCATTCTGGCAGTGATCTACAGACCAGTACACCACCCCTAACCTGGCCCACCGAGGAGAGGCAGCACCACGGCTTTCCCTTAACCCCCCGGCCCCAAACCCCATCACCCTTCCTGACCCCCTCCCTCCAGCTGAGGGGGTGCGCCCGCCGTGGTGACCCAATTGGGGGTGAGCCTCTGGGGTGAGCTCGAGATGAATAAAGCATTTCTCACTCCCTTTTGGCTTGGAAATGTCGTGGTTTTCGGTTTCGGGAGGTGTTATCTGCCCTAAGCATCCCCACCTCAGTGGGCTGTGGCTACCCCATAACTCGGACAAGAAGGGAACGGGGCCAAGCAGCAGCAGAGATCTCGGAAAGCACATCGGTGCTGTTAAATATTTCCCCCTTCCTGGATTTATGGGGGTGTTTAGCACCCCCAGAGCCCCCTCCCAGACCAGTTAACCCTCCCAGGTGGAGAAGATCACAGGTGAGGAGGGGGATCACCAAGCTTTACAGCCGTGCTGCTGAACCCACGGGGGAGCTGAGGAGGGGGCTCCCACTTATTCCCCCCCCCCTCCAATCAGTCCCTCAGCAACTTTTAATCCCCCCTCAACCCCTCTGAGCAGCAGCTTTGCCTTTTTCTGCCCTTGTAGCCCCCCCTAAAGCCTGCCCACACATGCCGGCTGCCAGCCATGTCCACGGCTGCCTGTCCCTGAGAGGGGTCAGTGTCCTCGCACCCGGGGGGGTGGGGGGGGGAACATGGGGGGGGGTAAAAGGACGGACACCAACCAGGCTGAGCCTGGAGGCCGGAAAGGGGGCTCGGCTGCTCCGCCTGCGCTCTGGGGCCTCGGGGCCGGATTTAGGGGCGGTGTGGGGCCTGCTGCGGGGTTGGGTTCCGTTTCAGTTCCCCTACACGCTTCCCAACCCTCCCAGTCCTCGCTCGGCGCCCCTGCCCCGTCATGAAGCCCCAGCGGGAGGAGGTGAGCATCCCGCTGTACCCCCCCAGCCGGGGGCAGCCCCCCACCACCGGCCCCAACGAGCAGCCCCGAGATTTCTTTCTCTGGTCCCTCTTCAACGTCCTGATCGGTTACGGGCTCGCCTACCTCGGCTGCCTCTGCTTCCCCGCGCTCATCTTCTCCATCAAGGTGAGATCCCCCCCCCCAAATCCTCCCCCCACCCTCCAACCCAGTGTCACTTTGCCCACCCACCCCAGGACCCCTGCCCACCCCGTGTCCCGTTGCTTTGTCATCATGCCCCCCTATTCCAAGCCACCTCCTCCCGGGGTCTCCAGAGCCGATCTGTCCGGACCCCCACCCCCAACCCAAAACCCCCGAACCCCCCCCAACCCAGGACCCCCCGATCCACCCCCTTTGACCCACCGCAGGACCCCCCTACTACTTCATCCTCCTCCGATCTGGTCTCCGCCTGATCCAGTCCTGACAAAACATATTCCTCTCCCCCCCTATCCCCAACCCCCCAAACAAGTGCCCCCCAAAATTCGCTGCTGCCCAATCTGACCCCCTCCAACCCACCTACACATCTTGGGACCCCCCTAACCCAGAACCTCCCCTCCACGACCTGACCGACCCACCAGCCCAGAACCAGTGCCCCCCAACCCAGCCTGATTTTTCCCTGACACCCCCTCAGTTTGTCACCCCCAAACCTTCCCACCTTGCTGCCCATACCCCAAAATCCAGGACTGTGTGTGGGGGGGGTAACATGGGCAACTTCACACCCTGCCCCCCGAGGGAAGGCATCCATGAGGTCCCAGCTCCCTTTTGAAAACTTCCCCAGGTGGGGAGGGGTCCCCAGATTTTTCTTCTCCGCCCCCCCCAACCTCCACGTGTTCCCACAGGCCCGTGACTGCAAGATGCTGGGGGATGTGGAGGGTGCCAGGAAGCACAGCACCCGGGCCAAGGTGTTGAACATCATCTGCTCCGTGCTGATGGTCGTCACCGTGATCGTTGCCATCGCTGTCTTCGTGGCTGTCATCACCTGACCACTGCTGGCCACAGCCCCTCGACCGATGGACCGACCTGCCACCCTTCCACTGCCCCCCTACCCTCCAAGAAAATGTGTACCCTCGTGTCTCTGCTTTGGTTGGAGGGGGTGACCAGGAAGGCAGAGCCCTGTCCCCTTGCTGTGCACGGGGTGGCCGGCACGGCTGGTGGTTGGAAGGGGATGGGTGGGCCAGGGTGGGATGGGGAAGGGGCAGCCCCCTTCCTCCTCCACTTGTGCTCCTCGGCAGGGAGCTGCTGGGCTCCCTGGGCCGCGCCGGTGTTTGTCGAAGCTGCAATGCTCATGTAGATCGCTGCTGCCACAAATAAAGCTCCTGCTTGCCAAGCCGCTTGTCTGTTGCCTTATTCACAGCAGGGAAGGAGAAAAGAGGGTCCTTCAGCATCTTGGTGGCAGCCTCCTCACCCTCCTCCTCCTCATCCTCCATCCCCACCGCCTTGCAGGGCGCTGCCAGCCCCCGCCTCATCCCCCAGCTGAGGACATGAGTTTTTTCCTAAGGATTTAGGCACGGCAGAAGAAGGAAACAGGAAAAAAAATGTGTTTTCTGTCTGTAAACAGACATCCTGCTGCAAAGCCCCATCCCCTCCTACTTCCAGGGAACCCTAGAAGGCTTTGCTAGAAGCAGCCCTTCCACATTTTAGCATTAAATGCCCATGTAATGCATTCCTGGAGAGGGGGTGGGGGTGAGGGGGAAGGATGTCTAAGTGTGGAGCTTTTAGCAGTACTTAGTCCCACAGGCTGCTAGCCCATTACCCTGGGCGACTGTAGTGACAGAGATCAAAACGATTACTTATTGCAATTGCCCTTATTGAAACAACTGACGTGAAAGGCGCGTTGCAAGGCAAACACACACACACCCAGCGACAGCAGCTTCTGCTGACACACAGGAAACTCCAGCCTCCCAGAGCAACCAGGCCTTGCTGGTGTTTGAGGGGTTTTCCCGACCACCACCACCTACAGGCCTTGGATGGAGGCAGCGGTGTGAGGAAATGTCTCCTGGCATCCTGCATCGTGTCCGGGGGGTGGTGGCTGCTTGGTTTCCAACCCATCCCACAGCTCTGTCCCCTTGGTCCCATGCCCCTCGCTGTGGGAGAAAGGCTGGATATAGAAAGCCCATCCACTTGTGAGAGAAAGGCAGGCTCACAAAACCAACTTTGTTTCTCCTAGCTCCCAGCCAAGCATTTCTGATAACCACAGCTCGTGGAGGGCTGTAATTTCTCTGTTTTATATATAGAGAAGACAAGGCTGGGCTGCAGGCGAGCGCTATATAAAGGGGCTGCCCGGCCCCGCTCCCCCAGCCAGGCTGGTGCAGCAGGAGAGCCGCGGGGTGCCTCTCTCCGTGGCCATGGACACGTCCTACCCCCGGGAGGACTACCTGCCCATGACATCCCACAAACGGGACCTGTCTCCCACCGTCGTCACCGTCGGGGCCTCTGCGCCACCCCGCGACCACCTCATCTGGTCCATCTTCAACACCATCTACATGAACTTCTGCTGCCTTGGCTTTGTGGCTCTCGCCTTCTCTGTCAAGGTAAGCTGTGCCACGGCCAGGGCACGAGCAGGGATGGGAGAGGGGGTGTTTGGGGTCACCTGGTGTTTCTAGGAGTTCCCTGTCCCTCCTCCCCGTGCTGATTCAAGAGCAGGGAGGATTTTCCAGGGCATCACAAGTAACTGTCTAGGAGGGCTGGGATGGGGGGCACAAGGATGAGAGCTCAACACCCTCAGAAAGACCATTTTAGGTGACAGCATCCCCTGGTAAAGCCCTCCTCTTTGTCCTGCCACCTATTAATAATGCTATGAGAAGGCCCCCGGCCAGGTAATCACAGCTTCTTGTCACCACCCGAGGAGCTATCGCTGTCCCTAGATGACGCTGGAGGGGCTGAGATGCCCCCAGCCCCATGCCTGGATCTGCCCTCCAGCAGGAACAGCTCCAGCTGGGCTGGAGCTGGGCAGATGTCCCAGGGGAAGGCTGGAGGAAGCCGGGAGGAGGCACGGGTGCATGAGAGGAGCCAGGGCTGCCCTGCGTCTTGGTTCTTGCAGGCGCGGGACCTGCAAAGTGGCTGGGGACGTGGAAGCTGCTCGGCGCTTCAGCTCCAAGGCCCGGTGCTACAACGCCCTGGCCACGGCCGGGAGCGTGGTGCTGCCTCTCCTGCTCGCTGCCCTGGTCGTCACCGGTGTCCTCCACCTCTCCAAGCTCGCCCAGGACTCCGTGGGCTTTTTCAGCTACCAGTTCAACACAAGCGACGATGAGGACAAGTGACCGGCGGGCGATGGGCTGGACAAAGTTCCTTCACAGCACTGGTGGCCTCCCAAAAAAGGACTGCCAGCCCTAAATAAAATCCTCATCCAGCCTAGAACCCCCCAGCCCCTCCGTGCCCAACCCCGTGCTTCTTTGGGCAGCTACATTATTTCCGTTTACCTTGTGTGGTTTTGGTTATTTGTTTTTTATATCCTGCCTCCCCTGTGGACTACGGCACCCCTCCAGCCTCAGCGACTATTATTTAAATCATTAAAATAATTCACCCACTGCGAACCTGTGGCATGCCTGTGTGTACGTGGTGCAGGGATCCTGCTAAGGGATGATATAAATGTGTTTTGTGTGCTTAGATAGTGCACTTCACAACTGCGAGAGTTAATCTACATCACTTCTAGGGTGTCCCAGCCTAAAACAGTTGTGGTGAGGGGAAGAACACGGGCCTCATCTATAACAGAGGAGGGGAAAGAAGTAGGCAGATGTTTCCTGACTTGGGCTGGCAACAGCTGGGTAGAGCAGCCACCACCTCCCCCGGCAGAGCTGAAACCTACAAATTCATGGCAGCATAGCAGAATCCCCCCCCCAGCCTGGTTCCTGGGCCATGACAGAGGGGACCTGCGTGCAGGGACCGTGAGCCACACGGGATGCTGTGAGCCACAGCACGCCCCGGCTCAGCCCACACAGGATCCATGGGGACCTTCCCCATTGCTCTAAGCAGGTCAGGAGACATCCCCAGCCCTCAGGCTTGGCTCTTCCCCCCTCCTTTGTGTGACGGCCAAAGCCGTCTCATTTTGGCAACACAGCCAAAAACATCCATTCACAAGTGGGGCCTTATTCCTATCTCCTCCCCAAGCACCATAATCCAGGTGCAGCCCCCAGAGCCGTTATCATGGGGCAGAACAGAGGGACCATGCGTCCTGCCCTGCTGCTGAGGGCTGCTGCTAATTAGCAGTTCAGGGCCCAGTAAGGAGCCAGCCCTAATTACAAGGCAGAGGACCTCCGTTGCTGCCTTGCCTAAGTGTTCCCACATGCTGTCCGTGGTGCCAAGCAGCCACAAAGCTTTTTATAAACTCCCATCCATTTAGGTAAGATTCCTGGGGTTTGTGTACAGAGCAGAACAAGCCTCAGCAGGGCAGGGAGCGCCTTCAAATCCCCTTGCTCAACACGCGGCCGCTCTGATGAATGCATGCAGGAAATACAGTACCAAAGCCACACATATTGTACACCAGAACAATGCTCAGTTTCAGCCTTGCCTTTGTCCACACCTCATCACACTGCCTCGGCTGCATTTCTCAGTACAGGGGAGTCAAGTTTTGGGGGTGCCGGTACTTAGCACATCGAAACACCAGAGGCCAAGGGATCCTCCTTTTCCTGGTGGCTGCTGCTGCGGATTGACATGGCAAAGCATTCATGGCTAGGCCTGCAAAACCCTTTGAGAAGCACAGCAGGAAGAGCACCTGCTGCTTTCTCAGGGTTTAGCATCCACAGGCCACTCAGGGAATGTATTTCAAACTGAGCTCACACATTCCACCGGTCTCTCCTCGTGCAAAGGACATGGGTTTTAGGCTTGGTGTTGTCCCCTCTACTAAGTGAGAGATGGGGACAGCCTGTGAAGTGGGGACACACAGCTCAGTCCCCCCCACTGTGGACAAGGATGCTCAGTTTCACTCAAAGAGCTGCTGCCAGCCCAGGTGAGTGCTCCACGCACCTTCCCTGGGCCCAAAAAAACAAAGCATACACAGTCCCACAGGGGCAAAAGTTTTACGGCACAGGCCAGAACACCACAAGGATGCCTCATCCTTCTTCCTCTGACATCTGCACTTCAGGATTTTAGTTCCCATCACGCAAAACCCAGATCAGCCAGGCTTTAATGCGCCTTGGTGGGTGACCTCTGAATCCATCCAGCCACCGTGGGGAAGGAGATGCTGTGCCCTGCAACAAAAAACAACATGCATGAAGCACGGGAACAGTTCCTCCACACATTTTCTTCGTTTATAGGAAAGTTGCCCAAGCAATGACTTCCTGAAGAGCTAGAGAGCAGGAAGTGCTGTTGGACAACTGCAAGGCCAGCACGCATAGTCACCAAGGGTCATGACCGTACCTTCACCCAGGGGAAACCGCTGCCCTGACTCCTCCAGCACTGCCTCCAGAGGCAGTGCAGGAGGGTCAAGGGGAGATTCAGACACTTCAATCCTCATCTCTTCCTTGGTGATGGTAAACTTCAGTTTGTTCCCCAAGTAGGAGACACCGGTAACTTTCAACTTGTGGACGTCATCAGGACACGAGGGGTTGAAGAGAAGGCTGGTCTTTGTGATCCTAGAAAGGCAGGAGCAAGTCAGTCAAAACAGCACCCCCTCATGTATCCTAGTGGCCCCTCCTCTTACTCCATGCATTTTCAGGCAGAAAGACTCCTAGGTGCATCCCAAGGCTCTCTAGGCAAATCCCAAACACAGCAACAAAGCATCTGGTGAAAAGCTACTGGGGCTGTGATTTCACAGCCCAGCACCCTCTGGTGTTTCTGTCCCTCTTCCAGTTCCTCAGCTTAGGATTCGTAGGTTGGATTTTAAAATAAACAAACAAAAACACAGCAGGATTATACTTTTTCCCCTCTCAGTTTCCCGCTCCAGCTCAGGGGGTGACTTTATCAGCAGCTATGCTGGCAAAACTTCAGAAATGTCCTGCTCCGGGATGGGGAGGAGAACTGGGCACAGGAACAAGCAGTGGGCAGTAGAGTTGTATACAGATAATAAACTGCCAAAATAACTCAGAATAAACTCAAAGCCCCATATGTGCTCTTTCACAGAAAGATAAAAATCAGTCCAGCAGCTCAAACCCTTTCTCCAAAGCCTTATCCAAAGTCAAGCAGAGCCCATTTTTGTGTTTGGCTTTGGACCAAAAAATAAAAAATTAACAGTCACTAAATAAATCTCTTACTGAAATATTGACTTGTGAGAACTCTTGACTCTACTTGAGTCTACTGAGAGGACTTGAGAGAGGCCCTAGAGCAGAAACAGCACACTTCTCCCAAGCTGTTATACCAGACACACATGCCACCAGTCCTCAGCCTGAAATTAAATGGGGCTCACAGCCTGGGCCTGTGCTGCCCCGCTCACAGCGCTGCCTCCACGGAGGTACTCAGCAGCAGAGCAATGTGCCAGCCAGCCGTGGCTTACAATAGGCAAGGCAGGAGTATGGTCTCAAGGACTACATCAATGTCATCGTGACATTTTTGGAAATTTGGCTCGAGCCCCAAAGTCTGTGGGTTGAGCCTATTGGAAGAGGGGCCCAAATCTGACACACACACTGCATCGGAAGACCTTGAAGCTTCGCAAAAGCTGAGATTAAGGTTTTCAGAGAGGAATATAGTAGCTCACACCCAGCTCCACCAAGAGTCTGGTGGATTTCTCAGCAGATTCTGGCCACACACACACAGAGTAAAAACACAGTGCTAGAAGGCCTTGCTGGCAATCAAAAGACTTGCCAGTGTGATCCATCCTCAATTAAACTCTAAGAATACACTCCAGGGACTGCTGCTTCAGGGTTGAAACCACCAAGCTGCTTCAGATGTGAGAGGCAGGCTTGAAATTATACGAAGAGCTTAGTGTGTTTTCTAAGGTATCTTAATGCTGCTGGCAATTCCAGCTGACCACTTTTCCTCCACAAAGTTGCAGTCCTATGTGTGGATGGCAGATTACTTCAGAGGGGATGCAGAAGGACTTACACCTATGTGTGGCATCTCTCACTGGCAAGGCAGCTGTTAGCCAGGCCATCTATGACCCTTTGCACTAGCATCCTTTTCCACACAGTTTCTGGGACTCAGCAGGAGATTTCCCCTCTGTTACATATGCTATTTTTAGTCTTTTGGCATGAAAAGAGCAAATACATTTCCCAGTCCCTTGCCATTTCAGCAGCGTCACCATCTCTCACCATAGTGATATCCACCGTGGCCTGTGCAAAAAAAAATCTAGCAAAACAAACAAGCAAAAAAGGTGCAAAAGAAATGGAAAGAAGAATTTCTGCCTGCTTGAGACTCCCTTTCTACTCAGCAGAAAAACAGGGAAGGGAGAAAACAGCTTTGTTAAATAGCTCTTTTGCTCAAGATTACTTTTATCTCCTTCTTCCAGCAAAAAGGAGGTTAAGTCTTGACTCCTTTTGAAGCCAATGGATTTAAACACTGACATAGCTGGAGGAGAAATGGATCAAAGCTCATCATTTCTGAGAAATCTGCTTTGTTCTCCAGCGGTGACCAACTGTCCCCAGTGACCACAGTTCATGAAGGATCGTTAACCACTACCTGCCAGGAGCCACTGGCAGATGTTCTGGAATTTGCTAGATGCTTCAAGTTCTTTTCTTTTTCACAAGCAACAAGTTGCTCCAGCTAAACGCTAACATTTCAAGTCACTTGTTGGTTAGAAATTAGACAAGACATAACGTAGGTCTCACCTGAACCCTGTGTAACCAAAGAGGACAGCTTGCAAGAATCCACCCATCCCTGTCAAGAAGTTCACAGCTCCAGATCCGTCTGAATTCTCCACCCAGATCTACTCCAGTATGAGGGGGAGGAGGGGAAAAAAAGTCAGTGGTTTCACTGGGATCCTTCATACAGTTATGTGTGCTTGAATATGCTTACCATCACAGCCACATATTAGGGGTATTGCAACAGTCCTATGCTGTTGCCCATCCCAGCATGAAGTAGGCCATTAAAATACCGCCACCTCCATTCCCTTTCCCACCCCTTAAAGGAAGAAGGAAGCCTGGGATGAGCAGGATACTGACCCCTGGCTTTGTATTGCTTGGTAGGAAGCAAACACCTTCTTGCTGTTCTTTGGAAACATGCAGAAAGGAGACTGAGTGTGCAGCCACCCAGCTCAATATGATAATCATCTAGTGACTGCAAGCACACACAGCATAGATGGGATCTACTTGGGAACACTGCAAGATAGAAGCAAGAGACATTTGTCACATGGAAGCAGCAACAACACTCCACACAGCTGACCTTGAAGGGCTCCGTGATGTTGCTGAAACACTTGTTCAGTTGGCTCTGTGCTCTCTGCATCTCCTTCAGCTCCAGCCAGCCCACCGCAAACATGCTCTGCAGGAGAGAGAACTGTCCTTTTGCTGGCTGCTGTCTCCCTCAGGGGTGACTACGCTGCAAAGCCTCCAGAGTTACACCACAACTAGCAGTCTTCAGTGTAGATCCCTTTTGAACATATTTCTAGCTCCAAGATAACCGTCCACGTTCTCTTATCACTTAAAGTAGGTTTATGCCCATTGATATGGGCTGGCATTGACTAACTCAGACAGAAATTACCACCTTGTGGATGAAAGCCACCTCAGACTTTGCCCCTCTCCTTACCCAGGTCATGGCTGGCCCATTCACGTCGGTGACAGGTTCATACATCTCCAGATCATTCCTCCGGACCTCAGGGCTCATGGAGTGCATCAGAGGGAATCCAAGCAAGACAACATCAGCTTGTTTCACAGGCTCATCTGGGAAAAGGAGCCAAGAATCAGTCAGACCACATATGCCAGCCAGGAATAATTGATTGTCTATTTACTAAAGGGAATGAAGCTGGCATACAGAATCATAAACTTAAAACAACAAAAACCACATCAGTGTTGGAAATATTGTGGAACTGCAAGGAGGACAAGTCATCGCTGCCTTGCTAAAGGCAAGTAAAATGTACAAAGGGGGCATTAAATTGAATGTTCATTTCCACATGAACTTTCACTGTCAGAGGTTGCTGGAATGGCAATACATCGCACTTGACCTTGGAAGGATAGACCTAGCTACCAGCATATAAGTTCATAGCCACCATGTCATCTGCAGCCCAGTAGCCCATGCTCTCAAGGCCTCTTTCTACCCTCTGCATACTTAAAATTCTTACTTGTATGACCACAATAATGAAAAATGATCCACAAAGAAGCAGGAAAAAAACATCTACAGATCAGGATCCCCACACTGGCAACCCAAATGCTGCACTGAGAGAGCAAAAGCTAGAAGGTTTTGCTTCAGCCAACCATTCAGGCACTGTCCCTGCCTCTCGTGTGCTTCAAAAGAAAGAGCACCTACCAATTCAAAGGTCTGCTTGCTGCCCCTCCGCTCACCTGGGCTGTAACCATCGTACTCAGGATGATATTTCTTCTCCATATCAAAGGGCACTTTGATTTTGTTGGCACATTCCACCCACTCCTCTGGCACAGGGATCAAGAGGTCTTGAGCAATATCAGCTGCAAAACGTAAGCTGAAAAGGAGCGAGGAGCAATGTTTTATATCAGGCACAAGTGCCTGTGACCCCTTAGAGAGGGAAAGAGAAGGGAGGGAGAAACACAAAAAACTAATTGAGCCATAACTCACCACCAAAGAAGCAGGTGCTTAGAAAGAATATGGGTCAAAGTCTAAGCTCGGGGTAACAGCTTTCATTGCTGGAGCTGGGACTCCTTGTCTACCTACATATATTTCCAGCTGGCTAATTGTCTAAACATCCCACACAATGCAGGGAGATGAAATGAAAAACTTGTGAAATGCCTCTGCCTAATGCAGATACCTGAAGGGTCAGGTGAACTGCCAGGGGAACATCTACCTCCTTCCACCGACTGCAAATAAAGACCAAGGAGACCAGCTCAGACAGAGGTATGCAAAGAGAGGAGAGGAGTGCAGCATGTGGGAGACTTGCTGTCTCCTACCCCTGCCAAACAGCTAGGCAGAAGAGAAGAAAATTGGCCCAGTGCCTTAACCAAAGCATGCGTGTTACCTCCGCTGGGCCAAGGCATTGGTGTAAGCAGAGTTATCAACCTGGTAGTGATATTCGTCTGGGGGCATGACACCTGGAGGAAGAGAAAGGGGACACTTCACACTGCAGTACACCCAAGGTTTGCCATGGCTCTGTGCCCCTCCTCAGGGAGCTGGCACAAGAAAGGGAACCCCTCCATTGCACTGATGCCTGCTCACATGACTAGCGTGGTGGAAAAATTATTAATCCTTAAGATTTGAGAGGTCTAAGAAGTTTATCCTAATGAAAGGAACACTCCTTTCAACCAAAAGTTAGTAGTCCTGATCGTTTCTATCTCCCACTACTGAGCTAATACTGGATGCGCTCCTCCTATAGACCCCAAGGAGTCCATCCCTCCCAGAAATGGGAACTTGGTTTCATTAACAGATGATTGTTCAACATCCATTCTTCCCAAGAATGTATTTCTGCCTTTTTAACATTACAATGATTTTCCTTATGTCCTTGAAGCAGCATATAAGTGGGGCCTCTGCAACGACTGGGCAGAGAGCATGGAGGAAGAGATGTGCCTGAGCATTCTCACTACGATAATCATTAATAACTACTGAAAACACCTGTCTTGAATTGTACCTGCATTATTGCATGCTTGGAGTCCTGATATTTCCTGACAGTAGGTGTTGCCTCCCTGTTTCTGGAAGTGATCTCAGTGCAATGCTCAGTAGAGGGGAATGTAAGTGGTGTTTGCATTTGCTGTAAAGAAGAAACACCCTCTCTAACAGCTTTATCAGTTAGCTTTGATGATCCTTGTGGCTTCGTTCCAACTTGGAATATTCTGTGATTTAGCTGAGAAGGTACAGACTCTCAAGGTAGCAGACATCCTGAGGGCATTTCCCTTACTTCAGAGCCGAGACTCGTAAGCAAGGTGACCTTCAAGTCCTTAACTGGATATATTTCCCTAGTTACAAGCTCAACTCCTTCTCTTGCTGATGTCCACTTTCCAAAGGAAAAGTGAAAACAGGCATTTCATGTGCCTCCTTCTGGGACAACTTTCAGGACAGTGGGGTTTAATACAAAGGATCTATTGATCACAAGCTAACCTGCAGCAACTCCGAGGGCTTTTCTAGCTCTGATCACCCCAACTGCATTGAGATCTTTTCGCACTAATCCAGCCATCTCCTCCACACCCTCTGCCAACAAACAGCTCTGCATCTCTTCTAGATCTTCCTCAAGTCACTGGTGATGTGTGCTCACTCAAGATAAAATGCTTCAGCAGGATTGCTGCCTGTGGAGACACCCTTTGTCCTGCCAGACATCTCAGTGGTTGTACTTAGTTGGCACCAACAACACCAGGAGACCTTCAACGAATGAACTCCTGCAGGCTACTGTCAGATTTAAACTCAGGTCTCATAAAAAAAAAAAAAGTTTGCCTGGGTTGCCAAGTCATAGAATGGCTCAGGTTGGAAGGGTTTGCATTCCTTTTTTTTTTTTTTTTTAAATAAGCTTCCTGTAAGTATTGAAAAGCTGCAGTGAGGTCACCCCAGAGCTCTCCTTCCAGGCTGAAGATCCCCAGCTCTCTCAGCCTCTCTCCATAGGAGAGGTGCTCCAGCCCTCCGAGCATCTATGTGGCCAGACCAGAGGGGGACAATCCCCTCGCTGCCCTGCTGCCACCCCTCAGGTGATGCAGCCCAGGATGCAGGTGGCCGCCTGGGCTGCAGGCACACACTGCTGGGTCCTGCTGAGCTTTTTGTCCACCAGCACCCCCAGGTCCTTCTCTGCAGGGCTGCTCTCAGTGAGTTTTTCTCCCAGCCTGTGTTCCTGTCTGGGATTGCCCCGACCCAGGTGCAGCACCTTGCACTTGGACTTGTTGAACCTCATTACGTTGTTATGGGCCCTCTTTTCAAGCTTGTCCAGGTCCCTTTGGATGGTGTCCCTTCCTTCTGGTGTGTTGACTGCACCACTCAGCTTGGTGTCATCTGCAAATTTGCTGAGGGTGCACTCAATCCCACTGATAAAGATATTAAACATTACTGGTCCCAAAACAGACCTCTGAGGGACACCACTTGTCACCAGCCTCCACCTGGACATGGAGCCATTGACCACCACTCTCTGGGTGCAGCCATCCCATCAATTCCTTATCCATCCTTATCCACTGAATGGTCTGCCCTTCAAACCAATCTCTCTCCAATCTGGAGATCAAGACGTCATGTGGGATTGTGTCAAAGGCCTTACAGAACTCCAGGTACATGACATCAGCCAGACTGTCCTTATCAACTGATGCAGTCACTGCATTGTAGAAGGCCTCCAGGAGCATTTGTTCCATGATCTCCCCAGGCACAGAGGCGAGGCTCACTGGTCTGTAGCTCCCCAGGCCCTCCTTTCTACCCTTTTAAAAATGAGAGTGATGTTTCTCTTCTTCCAGTCACTAGGGGTTTCACCTGACTGTCAGGGCTTTTCAAGGTATGATGGAGAGAGGCTTGGCAACTCCATCAGCCAATTCCTTCATGACCCGGGATGCATGGCATCGGGCCCCATAGACTTGTACCTGTTCAGTTCCGTCAGGTGGTCTCCAACCTGTGTTCTTCACTTACAGCTCCCCCAACCTCTGTCTAGGCGTTCAGCAACTCAAGAGATGTGGGAAGCCTGACTGGCAGTGAAAACTAAGGCAAAGAAGTTGAGTCCCTCAGCCTTCTCCATGTCTGTCGTTATCAGTTCTCCCTTCTCATTTATCAGAAGGGGGGCACTCTCCTTGGCCTCTCTTTTCTGTCCAGCATACCTATAGAACCCCTTCTTGTTATTTTTTACATCTCTTGCCAATCTCAGTTCCATTTGTGCCTTGGCTTTCCACATCCCGTCCCCACACATCCAAACAGCATCCCTGTACTCTCCTCAGGCCACATGTCCCTGCTGCCACTGCCTTATTTCCTTCTCACGCCCCAGTTTGACCAGCAGGCCCTTGCTCAGCCATGCTGGTTTCCTGCCTTCCCCGCTTGATTTCTTACACGTGGGGGTAGAGAGCTCTTGCACTCAAAGGAAAACATCCTGAAAGAGCTGCCAGCTCCGATCAGCTCCTCTATTCCTAAGAGCAGTGTTCCAGGGATCTCATCTACTAGGTCTTTAAATAGTTGTAATTTCCCTTTTCTAAAGTTCAGGGTCCTGACTTTGCTCTCTGCCAGGCCCATATTCCCTCAAGATCACGAACTCAAGCAGGGTGTGGTTCCTGCAGCCCAGACTGCCTCCAATCTTCACCCCTAATGAGTTTATCAGCACTGGCGAGCACTGGGTCCAGTAATGCCTCTCCTCTGGTTGGCTTTTCTAACACCTGGACCGGGAAGTTATCCTCAATGCACTCCAGGAGTCTCCTGGATTTCTTACAGCCTGCTGTGCAGCTTTCCCAGCAGATATCTGGGTAGCTGAAATACCCCCCACCATGAATGCCTGCAAGCACAATGCTGCTTGTAGCTGAAAGCCACGTCCACGGGCTCCCCTTGATCAGGCAGCCTGTAGTAAACCCCAGCCATGAGGTGTCCTTTATTGGTCCAGTCCTTAACTTTTATCCACAAACTCTCAACCTGTCTGTGGCTGTCTCTCAGAGGCAGCTTTTCACTGTTGAGACATTTCTTATAGAATCATAGAATATCCAAATTGGAAGGGACCCACCAGGATCATCGAGTCCAACTCATGTGTCTGAAAGCATCTTCCAAATGCTTCTTGAACTCTGGCAGGCTCGGTGCCATGAGCCACTCCCCTGGGGAGCCTGTCCCAGTGCCTCACCACCCTCTTGGTGAAAAACCTTTTTCTGAAATCCAACCTGAATACTTAACATAAGCAGGGAAGGAGGTGTAGGAGTGCTGCCCTCCATCCCTTCTGAAGCCCTTCTTGTAAGCCTCTTTTCCAGTGTTCCTGTTACGTGATCCATCCCACCACATTTCCATGACAGCAATTAAGTCATGGTTTTCTAATTTCCCTGTGGTTTCCAACTCCTCCCACTTGTTTACCATGCTGAGTGCACTGGTGTAGAGGCACTTCAGCTGGGCCATCTGCCACATCACCTTTTTAGAGGAGTCCTTCCCCAGTTCCTTTGGGACAATTCACAAGCGTTTCCCTGCTGTCTCCTAAAGCGACAGTGTTCCCAGGTTCACTTCCATCATGCAGAGGAACATCCCTGTCCCCTGCTGAACCTCTCTCCCTCCTCTCTAAAGCCCTCATACCCTATTTTCCCAAGCGCCGCCAGTCACACCATCAGACCTCAAACAGCACCCAGTCTTGTCGCATCAATTTATACTGCCATGGAAGGGGACGTTGAGGGGTGTCCTGTGAGCAGCAAGGGGCTGAGAGAAAAACAATTGGTCTTGTGGCACTGAAAAATCTGGGCATCTTGCCACATGGATATAGATGTGGATAACAGGGCAGGAGGTTACAGAACCCACGCATTCCCACCCAGGTCTGGCTGGAGGGGCTCTGAGCCTCTCTTTGCAAAGCCCTTCCCCACGAACAGGCCTGGCACTTGCAGAAGTACCTCTGATGTGGTAGCATTGCTCCTCCTCGCTCCACACCATCCTGCTGCACCAGTACTGAGCCACAGCCCCCACCAGCTTCCATCCTCCATCCTCCCTGAACAGCTTCTGGTCCTGGAAGGAGCCAAAGCCAAAGAAAAACAGGGATGAGGGAAAAACAGGGAAGCATGAGGGAAATTCAGACAGGCCTAGATTCAGCAGAAGGAAAGGAGTTATAAGAAAATACACAGAGCAGGGGAAAAAGGCAGAAGACTGGCCTGAATTGAGTCAATAGGATGCCGAGCCACCCATGGAGGATCAAGAATGGGAGGAGGAGATGAAGAAAGGATCCCAGGATGCTACTGGCAGTTCCGACAGGAGCAGATAACTGCAGAGTGTCTCTGAGAAGAGACAGTGACAGTCATCAGATGCCCTACAGGCCTTACCACCAGGCCCTCTGTGTGGCAGACGCTCGCTTTACCTGCGTGGTGTAATAATACTGCTCAAAGGCCATCAAAACATCCCCAGTGATGTGAATTTCTTGGGCTCCATAGATGTCCTCAGGACAGACCTCCTGGCCAGTGGCTGCACTCTCCCATGGGAACTTAGCACCCTGCTGGGAGAAGACACCCATGGAGCAGCTAAACACAACCTCTCCTGACACTCTTCCCTGTTTACAGCCTGCAGGCAAAGCCCAGCTCACAGCCTCTGGCTAAAGATAGAGCCACAGAGGAAGAAGAAAGTCTAACTGTGCTGCTGGGTGACGCTGGCTGGGCTGCACTGTCCCCAGCCCAACAGCCCTGTCCCCACCTTGTAGCCTTGCTCCTCTGCATTGCGTAAGGCTCCTTCCAGCATGCGAATTCGGTACTCCAGAATGGCTCGGGCAGCCTCAGGGTAAAACAGCAGGATGTTTGGGAACACCCAGGTGTCCTGAAAACATCGAGCAAAGCAAGGTGGTGAAATTGGCTGGCTGGGCACCCAGCTGCTCCCACCAGTTCAAGTCCACCCCCAGTCCTGAATGCTCTGACCATGACTTTGCTGCTGCTTAAAGGTGCTGTCACATTGGCTCACTAAAAGGGATAAACCCTCAAAGGTCTGTTTCTGCCCTCACAAGTGCATCTAGGCACCCAAACCTCCTATCCTCTGCTAGCCACCCCCATGGTATCTTGCTAGGATTATCTCGGCGGGACCGTCAGCATGCAAAGGAGGGGAGGTAGGAGTCCTCCAAAAAGCCAAGGGCTCTGGTATGAGTCAAAAATAAGGCCCACAGGACTAAAAAGCCTTTGCCCATTTGAAAGACCAGGCTGGGTGCAGCACAGGGGACTCAGCACCATCTAGCCGTGTTTCTCGCTCATGTTATGCTTTAAATATTCAACTGCAGAGCTGCGTGCTCATTTGGTGCAGCTATCTCCAAGGGCAGCTCTGAGCCTCTGGTCAGGGCAAAGCTGCCCAGATGGACTGGATTGCTGAGTACACACCAAACCCATGCCAAAAAGCTGAAAACATAGAAAACACTTGCTTTTTCAATAGTTACCTCAAGCACAATAGGGTTTGCTGATGTCACCAAAGCTGGGAGGATTTCAGGCTGTTTTCAACTTGTTTCCCGTATGTTAGTGGCCTTGCTTTAAACTAGACACTGAAGTTCCCTTTGCTTTGGCCTCCCCTGGGTGAGTGACCTATCTTAGCATAGGGAAGAGAGCTGCCCTGCCGTGGGATCCCTCTTGGCCTCTCACCCCCACTGCCTATACACCAACACCAGCCTTCTAGCTTGGCTTTAGGCAATTAACTTTTGAGTTAGAGGAAATAACTAACGTGAGTAATACCTAGGATGGAGCTGAGCCTCACTAGCTGTTAGCTAAGGAGAAGCAGGATGCTCTTCTACAAGAGGCTGGTGCCAAGACACCCCTACCATCAGCAAGGAGGTGAACAACCTCACACAGAGTTTTCTCTATCCCAGTTGCTGCTCAAAGCACCCCGAGGTGAACCGACAGCACAGCTTTAACCCACCTGGTCCCAGAAGACGTGCCCCCAGTAGTCCTCACCCTGGGTGCCATTGGACAAGCCGCCAGGGCTGATGCCGTGGAATAGGAAACCCGGGTTGTCCTGGGGAGGGATGGCGCTCAGCAGGTAATACAGACACCCGTAGAGGGCCTGTCTTAGAGGCAGAGGGCCATCCAGGTCGATGCAGCACCCTTGCCACAGCGCATCCCAGGCACGGATGTGGGAGGAATGCAGGGAGCCAGAGGCAATGAGGGCCAGCCCCTCGCTGTAGCTCCTCTTCACCTCCTCTTCGCTTTCAGCCACAGCTGTCAGGAACTCCCAGGATCGCTCCTGCTCCTCCCCGCACAAAGTCAGGTCTTGTGGCACAGGAGTCCAGAGCATGTGAACAGTAGGCTGGGGTCCCCCTTCTACCTCAGGAACCAGCGTCGTCCCATAGACGTAGCTGCAGGGGATGGCAAAAAGGAAGGGAAAAGTAAGAGCAGAGCAGAAGTGCAAATCTACCCATGCAGGGTGAACCATCAGCTGAATTTTTCCCCTGTTCCCACCTATGAAAGAAGCTCCCTTGTCCCCATACTTCAGCTCAGCTGCAGTCTCAGTTCCAAACTGTAGAATACTGAGATCCATCACAACTCTCACTGGATCCCCAGCCCCACAAAGCCATTTTTAGAGGTTATCTCCTCCAAGCTCACAATTTTACCCAAACTCATTTCTGTGGGCCTCTGATGCTCTTGTGTGTCAGCATAGATAATAATTTTGGCATTGCAGCTAATAAAAGTGTTTCTATATATTTAATATATAATAAATAGACATATGCATGTGTGTATATTTGTATATGTATGTATGTATATATATACACTTCTTGTTCCTGTCAGGAAGAAGTAAATTTGCACAAACCTCAACAATACTTATAATCTTAGTCTAGCTCTAGCCTTATTTTTTCAGTTTCCTATCTGGGAACAAGGCAACGTGTTACAGTCTGTGAAGGATTTGTTCCAGGCCAGGCTCCTGCCTGTGATGCAAACTCACTGTGCTCCCTGGAAGTCCGGTCCTTGGTGCAGGTCCAAGTCCTGGCTCTTTGGCACAAAAGGAGTCTGGAGCTGCACTGTGATGGGTTGGCCGGTGTGAGCTGACCGCCGGATGGTGATGCTGAAGGCCATCAGGTGAACAAGGGAATGGTGAGCGTAGATTTGATGGGTGGCTGTATAATCGGTTGACTGAAGCACGTGGCTGAAGGTTCCTGCAAGTGCAAGAGTCAGCCTTTTTAGCCACCAGGTCCTGATGTTCTTCCCCAGACTACCATTTCTACCTTATTTACTGGTCCCTATTGGCAAAGGAACAGTCTTCCCCAGATCCAGGCCAGAACATAGATTTTGACTGGACAACACTGTTAACACACTAAATCTGACCAAGCTGGTGAGGAATAGATTTATAATTTATTTTTTTTAAACAAGGTTTCACCATTAAGCAGTCTTTACTGAGCCTGGCTCCAGCAGGGGTTGAGATATAATCTGAAAATCACCTGCTTTTATTCTCCACTTATTCCAGAGCAACTTCATAAGAGTAATGTGGGAAAGGAAAGTCTTCTGCATGTCTTCCATGCATGAATGAAAGTGCCTGTTTCATTCAATACGTACCACTACTAAGAAATTTGCTTCTGAAAATAAATGAATTTAGTACTCTGTAAAGCTAAATCCTGAAATCTGCAAAATGAGCACTCACAGAGGGATCAGCAAAAAAACCCTCCTCACCTTTCTTCCAACTAGACATTCCAGTGCATGACATCAAGGTCAGAGCTGGCTGCTGTCCAAAGGCAAGAGCAAACAATGCCATATCCATTTCTGGCTCCTTTAAAAACACGTTGTGGGGTTCACTTTATAATCATTAGTAAGCTGCCTCCAAAATAAATGCCTGCACCTGAACCAAACAGTTAGACACCTATGACAGTCAATGTAATCCGGGGTACGATTCATTTCATCTCTTTATAAACATTTGAATTGATGGATCAAATCTCCTTTGCCAACAAAACTACGTATCTGTCCTGCACAGAAACTCCAGCACTGACTGCACCTAGAGCAATGAATTCCACTGCTGGGGTGGAGCTGACATCCTTCACAGACCTAATTGGTACACACTGAGTCAACCCCACGGGTGAGTGGAGAGCAGGGAGAGGAAAGATGTGAGCTCCTGGAAGAGGCAAGGAGGCTTAACTTCTAGCAGAGGGTGGCCAGCAGTTGGAGAGGAAGAGCAAAGGGCGCACATGCTGCAGGTAGGAAAGTTGCAGGACAGGGACACCTTCTGTGTGCTTTGCTCTTTACCCGTCCGGGCGTTCAGGGTGAAGGTCTCAGCCAGGCTGTCTGCACCAGGCACAGTCATTCTCACATTGAGGGGGCTGGGGACGTCAGCACGGTGCGTGTCGCCCACCGCGCCGTTGTACACCCCGTTGACATGGAGGATGTCCCGGTACACACGGGTGCCGAGGTACGCGTTGGTCACCGTAGCAAGAAGGCGCTGGTCTGAGGGCAAACAAGTGGTGGTGAACACAGCAGGGTCCTCCTTGCCGTCAGTCATTTTTACCAGTCCAAGCTGCAGAACAAAAATTAAAAAAGTAAAAGTCAGAGGAAAGGGCTGGATGGAGCAATCCCAACACAAAGTTGGTGCAAGATTGAGCATGGTTGGGGGGGAGATGTCAGCTGAAAATGGTGGCTGCAAATGGCCCCTCTTTGCACAACCTTCCTGCTCATCTGCTTCCAGCCTCGCTATATTCCTAGGGTCTCTGTTTCCTTTATTTTCCCCTCTGGCCACCACCAGCACCTCCAAGGCACAGTTTTCCTCCATCCCAGTGCCTCAGGTGTGTCAGCTCCACCTAGGCTCATTTCCTCCTGTGTAGCTTCCTTTTTGGCAGACATCTCCCAGCCAGCTTCTCTACCTTACCCAAATCTTGCGTGCTCATTGCTATTATCACTTCTCCATTTTTTCCCCTTTCACTTCCCTCTCCATGCTAGTATCTCACCACTTCCTCCCAATACATCGCATCACACAACAATCTTCCTCTTCCTTCCTCTTCTTCTTCCTCCTCCCAACATTATTCTACAACATTACTGAATATTCTTTTAGTCTTTATCCTCGTGGTACCTCCACACTTCCCTCTTGCATCTCTAGTTTCACTTCAGTTACTGGCTTGCTCAGGAAGGAACATCGTGTTTCTTTTATATAAATATATATATATGTATGTATGTATTTTTACATACATGTATGCGCATATAAAGAGAACTTTGCAGAAACGAGTTGCACCTGGTGCCTCACAGCATTAGGCACTGCATTAATATAAAAAATGATAGAAGTAGAGCACAGACAGGCTCTCCGAGCAGAGGGAGGACACCAGCTCTGGGCAGTACCCAAAAGCCGTCCCCACGGGCTGCCCAGCCGTGCTTGGGGACAGCTCAGTTGGCTCGCGTCAGGCGGTGTCCACGATCAAATCACAAGGCAAAGCACTCCTCCTGCCTGCAGAGAGGGAGTTAAAAAAAAGAGGTGTGGGAAGTTCGGAGATTTGACCTTGCCTTTCATGTCAGGCTGTGCTCGGAATCTGACCACGCAGGCTGCTGCCGTGGGGCCCTGGTGGAGGGGAGACGACGGAAGTTGCCCAACTGAGATGGGAGGAAGGAAATAATTCCCCCCGCCCTTCCCCTTCCTTAAAAATTATCTGGTTGACACGTAGGTACTTGCCTAGATAAGCTCACCGTCCGGCACACCAGGGACTGGGGCTGCCTCAAGCACCAGGAAAGAGGGACTGAGACAAAAAAAAAAAAGAGTTTGTCAGCTGAAAGCTGTCCAAGGAATTCAGCAATGAGCACAGCCCTGGCAGACGGCCACCATCGCTCTCCATTGAGAAAGCAGCACAAAGACCTCTGCAGAAGGAATTGTGGCTGACAACTGCCCTTTGTCCCCAGCTGCATTGTGACCCTTTTACTTGCCTGCTTTTGGAGACCCAGACTTCAGCTTTGTAACTTTCCAGCTTCCGTCCTTTGAACTGCTGCTGGCGCTGCAGCGTGTTTTTCTGGTGCAGAGCAGTCCCCACCCTGATTTGCTGTGCCACGAAGGCACTTCTAGCATGAATCCCCATTCCTCCCAGACCCCAACACCTTCTGTCATTTTTAAAACCCTGTCACACACAGAACACAAGGGTTTACTGAGCTGTCCTCAAAGATGCCCAGCTTACCTTCTGCTACAAGGTCAAACATGCTTTCTTCCGCATGTTGAGCTCAACCTGCTAGGCTGCATCATCTTGACACCACCCAAACACAGAAACACCTGTAAAACCACGTCTCGTGTAGCACCCAAACCCCAATTCCAGCTTGCTGATGCAGATAAGCCATGGCCTCGATGCACCAGAGGCCCTGCTTTGGAGGAGCAGCTGTATGTCTCCAGCAGAGACTGCTTTGAGACAGCCAGAAGCCATGGCGCTGCACAGACATCCTCTATGCCCAAGACCACAACTACACATTTCCCTGCAGATCTTTCCAGAGCAATGTTCTTACCATCCCGTGTCACAGTCCGGCTTTATACACGAGCAGAAAAACAGATGTTGCAATCGCCAACTGCAGTGGCCAAATTCATCCCGTATGTCCTGCAGCAAAGGGAGATGGCTGCTCCTCTGCAGACACACTCATGCTCTCCATCAGACGTGGCAGCCACAGGAAGGCACAGAAGCATCGCGTTGCTGACCCAGGCTTAGGAAGCGGGGGCATTAAGGGGAGGGAAGAAAGAAAAAAATAGGAAGTTACCGTAGACCTAAGTGCACGTTTCTCTCTGGATTCCAGATGTGCCTCCAGTTCATTTGTCGGTGCCCACTGGAAGATGGAGGTCCCAGATCCACCTCTTACTTCATTCGGTGTCTCCTCTCTCAGTCTGATCCTGCTCCCTTTCCCTCACCTTGTCTCCAAGGTCAGCCCAGGCAAAGGGCAACCTCAGCTTTTGTTAGCCTTCATGTTCCTGTGAGTAAGAGCATGGTCAAGGCTCCCTGCTCAACCAAACCGAGCATCCATCTGTGTCCCTGATGCAGGGGAGCACTGCATTAGCAGCTTGCCTGGCACCTGAAACACAGTCCTGCCATGCTACAGCTGCTGGAAAGCTTCGAACTGAGTATGGGAGAACGTAAAAATAATCCACCCTACACCAAATGTGAGCAATATAGGTAAATGTGTAGGGCAGCATCAATGCCAAAATGCTTTAAGGTCAAATCCTAGCCTCTACACAGCTACCCTCTGTAGCCCACATGATCCTTGGAAGGACAAACCTCCTTTAGCCAAAAGATCTAAGGTCCATTCCTCAGGGATCAGTGGACATGTGGAAAGCAGCATGGCCAGATGCTGTGACTCTTGTAGCAACCTACTGCCTCTGGCTGGTGCTCAGAGAGGATTATCTTATTGAACAATCCAGCATTTATGGGGATAAATACTACACATCTGTTCTACTCTCTGCAAATCCACAGAAAAGCCAATGTCTGACTCAAGCAAAGCTGTTATCAGTGTGAAGGAAGCAAATCCTTCGTCCAGAAGCTCTCCTAGGCAAGCGAAGACATTGCTTCTCTTTGCTTGCCATGGCTCGGGGAAGATGAACGCTCCTCACCACACCTTCCTGAGCAAGCCACTGTGAGTCACTTCAGGTTTATGCCTCAAGTCTCCCACAACCAGCACCAAAGAGAAGTGATAGTGACTGAGCCAGGAGGAACACGACCAGAAACCACGCTGAAAGCATCATGTAAGCTTGGAAAGGAAATAAATGAAATGTTCCTTGTCCCACCTCTGGGTCCAATCATGCTAAACAGGGCTGAGGGGTTTTCCATGGGCACACTTGGTAACATGTCCTGAAGCAGCTTCCAGGGAGGAAGGGGAAAGGAGAGGTCGAATATCAAGGATGTAAGAGTCAAGAACATGGGCTGTTCTACAGCTTCTTAGGAGACAGGGTCAAACTGTGGCCACTCTTGCTGTCCTCCATGTTCATCCCAGCAATGCTCCTCAACATGAGTATTTGTCTCACATGAGAAGATTGATCTACAGGAGCAAAAGAGGTTTCTCACCAAGGTTTTCAGAAAGGTACAGGAATGCTCCCCCCTTCCTTTGCACCCTAAAAAGCTGAGCGGGAGAGGATTGATGGAAGCAGGTGTTGCAATGTCTCCTAATACAATTAGGAGGAGGAAAGTGAGTAAGCACAAGATATAAACGGGGATTTCCCGGAGGTCAGAGGACTAAGAGTCTCCTTCCTTATCTCAACGTGGAAAGTGTTTTTGTGAAATTGCTCAAAAGAAGAAATCTTTGCTGTTGGAGGTTGCACCACCTCCACAGCTTTGTGACTGCCGCATAGGGAGATTTTCCAGCTCACTGTCAGAGAGTTGGAAAAAAGTTCTCATGAGACAGGAGTCAAAGAGGAATCCTTCAGAAAGCCAGTTGCATGCAGCAGATATGAGGTAAGAGGATTCTCTTACTGCTTTTAAATTTCTTCAGTCATCTTTCATCAACAAAAGTGTGCTTGACCTGTCCTGGTCCACGCAGCTCACTGGGCCACTTGTAAGGTAAAAAGCTGTGCCTTCCTGAGACAGCTGGTGCTCTGGTAGAAAGTCTCTGACCTTCTCAATATAATAATAAAAACCCAGTTTTACCCCAAAGAGGAGCCTGCTGCACACCACAAAACCCCAGCAGCTGCCAGGAGAGCATTCCCAATTCCTGTACAAATCTCAATAATCTTTCTGTGTAGCTGTTTTTAAGGGAGAGAAGAACAAAGCTGGGTTATTCAACGAAGCTGGCACGTGTTGAAGCAAAGGGGCCTGACTTGTCCCTCTGACAAGTGCCTGCACATCGCAGGAATGCGACCCAGGCTCGAGGCTTTCAGCCACTTCTGCTATCGGGTTGAGGCAAGTAGGAAGTTGCTTCTGCAAACATCAGCCCACCCTGACCAAACACCACCAACGAATCCGTCAGCGTCTCCAACAGTCCGTGGCTTGCAGGACAGATCATAATACCACGTACGGTGCCTGTACGTGCTTGGCTGGGAGCCTGTGCATTCGCTGGGCCACAAAGGGAAGACGGAGGAGCCGAGCAGCCATTGCTGGTTCAGGCCAAGCAAGGGTTGGCCATCGCATCTGTAATACCTTAAAGAATGCATATGCTTTTTAAGGGCCTTACAAATTTAACAAAGTTCAGAATAAAAGGTTTGCTCTCCAGCAGGACTTTGCAGAGATGCCCTCCCTTGATGGCTGGGGCTGCTGTTTGTGGGGTGCAGGCAGAAGGCCAAACACTCCCCGGGGGAGGAAAAACTGCAGCGAGCACTTGAGGAGAGCCTCGAGGCTCGCAGGTTTTCCGCTGCCACGCTCCCAGGAGAGCAGGCCCAGTGCCGAGGGGTGGCAGCAGGGGGGTGGCACTGACGGGCTGGGCAGCTGCAGTCCGAGCAGCAGTGAGGAGGGCAGCGCTCAGCGTGCCACCATGTGGGGCTTCCAGGGGGGCTCCCGGCTGCTGGCCACCATGCTGCGGGCACCACGGGTCCCCCGGGCAGGGGTCACCTCCAAACCACCCGAACACCCGATTTCTGCTGGGGTGAGTAGCTTACGGGGGGGTAAAAAAAAAAAATAAACTGGGTGGGAGGGGGGGAGGTAGCTGGGGACGGCCTGGGTATTGGTATACAGACACAAATTTTTGCTGGGAATTAAAGTGAGGTGGGGGGAGTAGGAGGAAGAAAGGTGCACATGCACACACCTCCTATCCCCTAACCCCTCAGCTCTTGCTTCCCTTTTATTTTGTCCATTCAGTAACCCCGCCTGCCTTTTAAGTCCCCTACAGCCCAGAGTGCCCTCCATGGGGCTGCTTGAAGGCCCCAGGCACCCCAACAGTGCAGGGATAGCCCCATTTCCCCCCCCAAATCCCCCACATTTTTACTGCCATTTCCAGAGGGGCACTCACCCCCAAAGCAGGTGTCCTCCTGGGCAGGGAAGGTTTGCTGCCCCCACAGAGCTGAGCTGTGCAGGTCCCTCCACCATTCCTTCCTTTGGCAGTGGGGACGATTTCCCACCAAAACAGCAGCTGCTCCAGCTGCAGAGACCCTCCTGGGCTGGGTGAAAGGAGCTCCAAAAAAAAGGAGCTTTACGCCAAAAATCCTGGGTGGGTTTCGCTGCCAGCTTTTGCTTGTGGAGTTTACCCCCAAGCTGCATTTCCAAGGTCTGCAATGAAGTGTTTCACGGGCCTGATGACTCTTCTTCAAGCCAAATAAGAAATAAAAATGACAGCACAACGGGTTAAGTGCCTGTGCTTGTGTGCCAAGAATGGCAGAGGCTGCTGCGCGTTGCTCTTCCCACCTCAAAGTCATTTGAAAGTCAGGCACAGCTGCTTCTGGAAACTCTGTGGGCCCAAGCCTGAGTCTCGCTGCCGACAAGGGCACAGCCACGCTTCCCAGCAGGTATCGTGACCGAGAAATACAGAGCAATAGAAACAGACCTAGAGAGCAGCCAGCTTGGTCTGCTATTGGTAGAAACTGCTGTGCTTACCCAAATCTCCTTTCTACAGCCCCAAAAAAGTTTTCACCTGACAGCCTGGAAAGGGCAGGGCACACAGATGAGCTCATTCTGTTGCATTAGACGCCGCAGCATGCAATTGTCCTGGGGACCCCACGGGCATTGCAGCTGCTGTGCAGCCACCCCACTGATTGTTCTGGTCCTTCTCCCACCCGCAGGAGCAGGCCTATCGCGCTGGCTGCCATGTTTACATGCTTCCTGGCACCAACAGCATGGGTCTTGGCACACGTGGAGCACTACAAGAGCAGAGGAGATTAAGAAGTGGCCAGAACCACCTACACCTGCGGGAGCAGAAGTGTGAGCGAAGATAAGATTACAGAACAGATCTTCACCCAGGAAAAACCCCCGAGTTTGTTCATTAAAATTCACTGTTTGCATTAAACACTGGGGTCTGTGGGCTTTGCTTGGTCCGCGTGCTTGTTGGTAAGGGAACGAACCAGCAATCCTGTGCTGTCCTGGAGGCAGTATTCCTTGATAGGTTTGCAGCAGGCCTCAGGGATGCATGGTTTCCCACTTGAGCTTTTACCTAGCAGAGTTGCAGTGCAGCAAAAGGCAGATGCCAAGGAACTACTCAGCATGAGCACAGAAGAGAAAAATTAAGTTAAACTCCTGACAAGAAAATGCTCAAGGTTTTAAACATCACTTTAAATACCACTTTAAAAGTGGTCTGCTGGCTGCTACACATCTGACTTCTTTTGATCCTGTGTGAAGGCACACACCCCCCCAGCCCACCACCCAAACATACACCAAGCTTCCTAAGCCCAAGGAAAGCTGACAGCCAGCACTTGCTCCCACTCAGATCTGGAGAGCAAACCGTATTTCCAGGCATCCTGAAAAAACTTCTGAAACTGTCACAATTCAGTCAGACTACAGATCTTTACACTCACTTCAGAAGCCGCTCAAACATTTCTGTACAAACACTCCCCACAGCACAAGAGGGTTGTCAAAATACTCGGGGAAAATACTCGAGTACTGCCTCAACAGCACTTCCTCAGCTTTCTGACATGCTTCAGAAGTGATGGCAGCCCTATGAGCCTCCTGCACTGTTGGCACTGCCTTTACTCCCAACACGCAGCGACATGAGGCTGCTAAGGAAGTTCTATTTTTGAGTCCTCTTCCTGTCTTTAGCTATGAGGTAAATGGAAGATTTTCCTGACCAGAATGCTCATTCCCCCAGCATTCTCTTCGGAAGTCAGTAAAAGCAAGATCAGGAATGAGCTTTGGAAGGTACAACAAGGCAGGAGCTACAGAGTCAAACTGCATGAGCTAGGAGGAGAAAATATCACAATGCAATTCAACAGCTCAGCTAAGAGCAGAGCAAAACATTAAAGCTGATGGAATGGGCAGGGAAGACGTGGGCATTCAGAACTGAACCAAGAAATTTTGGCAAAAACTACTAAGAGGCAGAAGGGTTGAGGGTGAGCAGGTGTAAGGTTTGACAGTTTTACTTTTGCTGTTTTATAAAAGCTTAATTCTTCTTTGTCCAAGACACCTTTGCACTCACATAGCAGCGTAGCATCAGCCACGTGCTTGCTTTTTTCTGTTGCTGGTCTTAAACCCTGAGAGTCAAGACAGCAAACAAAAAAAGCATACAAAGAATAAGAATTTCTATACTAGTCTGAGTGACACAGCATATTTAATAACCAGAGAATCAAAATGATAACCGAAGGTCTTGAAGCACAGTAGTCCATCAAGCTAGCACTGTGAAGCATAAACCATCCATGGATGCTTTGGCAGCAGTACTTAAAAAAAAAAAAAATCCAGTTACACCCTCAGGAATTTATCAAAGTTGTACGACTGTGCTCAGTTTAAAGCTACTAAGTTTTAGTGTACTTGCTATTACTACTGTTTAATTATGCGTGTTGTGCATCCAAATGGATACTCGGACATAGCCCCCAGTTCAGACCTGCATTTGTTTCAAAGTCCTGATGTGCACAATTATCTTCCATCCTTATGAAGATATCGGCAGTCGCAAAGTGAAACCATTACATTATGGAAAGCTTTTAAAGTCATTAAGAGGCAAAAGCAAAGAAACAAACCCAAAAAACCACAACCTCATCTCAGGCCTTAATCAACCTTTTCAGTCACTTATGCCTATTTGTCAAAAAAAATCAGGAGTAGTTTCCCACAAAAGAACAGAACTTGACAATAAAGAACACATTTAAATAGTACTACATACTATGCAAATTACACACTCATCCAGCTGGTGATTAGCAGACTGATTTAATCTGTGTTGAAGAAAGGGCTTCTGTAACATGAAACCTAGAAGGAAGCACATTCGTAAACAGAGCAGAGATCCAAATGTGAGTCAGAAAGAAGGCACAACAGAACTACAAGAAAAGGGAAGGCAGAGACATTTATTCCAGCAATACTGCTGCAACTCGCTTTAGCACAAAGTGTTCATAAAAGACAACAACCCCCAGAAGTATATAAAACCAAATCCACTGAACGGCAATCCTGGAAAAAACCCTTTGATGGAGTAAACACTCCCTCTACTGCAAATGAGGAGGAGGGGTTGTGGAGAAGGGGGGCAAAAAGAGAAAGATGATTTCAGCAATGCTGCCTTGGGGCTGCTGCAGGGGCACAGAGGGAGAGGATATGAGGGAAGGTCACGCCCTCCTAAGGCCAGTACCACTACGTAATACCACATACAGTGATCAGGCACCTCTCTAGCACGCTTTAATAGAGGAGCTTCTGCTACCCCTTTACCAGGCAAATAACCTCCACCCCCGTAACATGCAACCAGCATCATCCTCCCAGCAACAGCCTGATAGCAAAACTGATAAATAAACCACTGTGGAGCCCGTGGCCACTTTTTTACGAGAGCAGGACGGGAGCTCCCACGGTCAGTGCCACTAATGGTAGCGCGTAGGGAAATCTTGACTCCAAGCACCAAAGGGTTACACTGCAAAAGGCCACTTACTCCTCCGACCAAGCATCAGAAAGCTGCTCTCCCCTCTGCCCGCCCACCCACCCCCCTTCCATATAATTCAGTACAGAGTCAGTGGTCTGAGTGCTGCTAGCAGCAGCAGCAGAAGTTACTGTCCCAGGGTAGTGCAAGGGTTTCTATGTCAGGATGTCGTGGGCTTGGTGCTCCACCAGCATCTCCATGCTCCTCACATCTGTGCACCAGAACTCCAGGCGATCTTTCATCCCTTTGATCTGGAAGACAAGTCCACAGAAAGTCACTTTGCTGCTCCCTCCCGCTAGAACACCAACACTCACTGTTAAGGACAAACGCTTGAGATCTCAACTTCTCATAAATCCCTGCATCTAGAAAAGACACTGCTTAACATCTCTTAACATCAGAACCTACGGTATTGTAAATTAAACTGAAACGCACAACAGGAATTGTTTGCAGCTATTATTCCATGGATGTAGTGATTTTGTGTGCGTATGTTTCTCAAAGGGTAAAGGCACCTTATATAGTCTCCCAAAACACTTATTACGAAGGTGCTGAGCTTCTCAAATTCATCTTCTTTACCACCCTGAACTGCTCTCTTCCCAAGACAAAGCTGCCACCTACAACCTGGGAACACAGCATTTTGTTCAATGCACCTGAGTCTGAAGAAACCACATAAACGTCTGCAGCCTTCTGTAGCACACTGTCATCGCCTCTCTGTTTCCTGGTGGTTTGTGTGGTTTCTGAGAAGTGTTGCGAGTAGTTTATCGCCTGACAGATTTGCAGCTAGCTACTGCAAATCAGATACAAGAATGCACCTGTCTACTTAAGGTAAGAGCTAAAGAAGGCAACATAAAAAGGATGGAAGGAAAAGCTGATATACTTCTGAGCTCCTTGAGGAGCTTCAAGAAACACTAAGGAGACACTCTCAGCTAGTGATCCTTCCCAGTTGTTACTTTAAGTTTCTGGTTACCTCAGACACAAGAAAACAAGTCAGAGCTAGCCATAGTACTCAAGCTGGTCATTACCTGCTGTAAATCCAGCACACGTGGCTGCACCCACGTCATGTGCACCCTCTTATCCACTTCATCAATACTGCCCTTTACCAAGCCTACTGACAGCGCCTTCATCACCAGCAGTTCCACCTTAAAAAGGAAAAAAAAAAAAAAAAAAAAAGATCAAGAACACAGAATCAGCCACTTTTCCAAAGATGGATGAAATTTTTAAATGGATCTAGCCTGCAGAATTCTTTCTACATTCAAAACAATCAAGACCACCTCCAGTCTCTCACACCCATCTTTTAAATGGAATAACTTACTCAGTGGATGAAGAGCTGTAGGTGCTCTGCACCTTTCTTTTAGCAAGGAACTCAACAAAATCTTTTACCACATTCTTGTTGACAAGCTCGTCAGAGCATACAGAGGGACCGCAAGATGAGCGAAAGAATCTGCTAAGCCTCTGAGCTCAGGGGGTAGTGGTTAGTGATTCAGAGCTGCAGACAGCTAGTTACAAGCAGAGTTTCCCAGGCGTTGATACTGGGTCTGATACCAGTTCATTGCATTTGAAATCAACAGCATTACAAATCTGCAGATGAAGCCAAACTGGTAGGAGAGGTAGATAAGCTAGAAGTAAGAGTCACCGTAAAGATAGACCTCAACAGCATTGAGCCAACAAGAACTGCGTGGAGTGCAACGAAGACAAGTGCAAGGTCCCACATCTGAGACAGAAAGCTTCCCAGCAACGGCACAGGCTGAGCTCTGGCCGCAGAAACCCTGCTGAAAAGGGGGGGGGACTCGCAGCAGGGGCAGCGACCTCACACTTCCTCAAACATACCTGAACACTGGGGTCTGCTGTGCACCACCCCCTTTCTACTTTGAGTCAGGCAGTGCAAAACTGGAGAGAGTACAGCATAGAGCCACCAAGATTAGGAGGTGGGGAACCTGACATAGGAAGAAACTGGATTTGCTCAGCTTCAGTAAGAGAAGGCTTGGGGAAATCTCATCACTGGCTCCCAAAACTTAAAAGGCAGTAACACAGAACTGTGGAGGTAGCGTTCTTATAAGGACACATGAAAAGACAAGGGCCAACAGGCAGAAGTTGCTTCAAAGGAATTCCACCTGGATTACAGAAATAAAATCTTCACTATGAAAAAAATTAAACATCAGTGACACGGTGGAATCTCCCCTCACTGGATGACGAAGAATCTGCCAAATTCACTTACCAAGAACAGGAACAATTCCTCGCAAGAACAGAGTTCTCCAAATGCACAAGAACAGGGGAGAACATTTATACTTAGAGCTGAGCTGTGGGAACAGACCTATCCAGAAGCTTTTAGAGCTTCAAAACTCAGATATCAAAAAGCATCAGACCTGAACTCACCTCATTCACAGTCACTTTGGCACTCTTAGCAATCTCTTCAAAAGTGAGTTGCCTGTGATTGGCTGGTCGGGTGAAAGTCATCTGAATTCAAGGAAACAGAACAAAAAATAAAGCCGCATAGTTTTATTTCCCCTCCATGCACAGGTTGCACAACTTTCACTGCATCCCCCTGCTGAGCGCTCAACGTGCAGTGCCAACTACATTCCTTACATTTAATTAAAATACCTTCAAATAAAACAGCTTTACATCAGCAGAAAGGAGCAGCACCCCTCACTCCTCCACACACACCTCGATCCTCCAAGCATTTCTCAGACAACAAAAGCTCCAAATAAAGCAGATCAATCTGTGCTGAAGTGTCTCAGTGCCCACCAAATTCCTGGCATAACACAACGCCTTAGAGGACGTAAGACTAATTCACAGTAAAACACGAGAAGCGGAATATATCTGCACATACCTGTGCACAAATACATAAATACACATTATCCTTCAGATACTCGATATTTAAGTTTTTGAGAACAGATCCAGAGCCATGGAGGATTATATATCAGTGTTATTTGGTAACAATAGAGCCAAAGCCTTCGAGTGACAGGAAAAAAACTGTTTTTAATATATAGGGTTGCCTCTCAGGGAAAGGATTTTCAGGCCTCCTTAAATTAAAATGTTAACTGTGTTTTCAGAAGTCTTTGTTATACTAGAACTGTTACGCTTGAGCAGTTTTTGCAGATACCTTTCTTCCCCACCTCCACATCCTTCCTCAAAGAGAGCACACCCTTTATACTGTGAACAAGTAGTAGCTGAAGACTTTTCCTAGCAGTACTTGCTTTTTGGCACCACCTAGAGGTGAAACTTGCAGTCAACAGCTAGTTATAACCCCGAGGATCCGTAAAACAAGTAAATCCAGCAGACAACACGCCGCTTAACAGTGCTACCCCCATCAAAAGGCAGTTAAAGCAGTGCCTTCTATTTCCTACATGTAACACGTAACAGCTGTCAGCTCAGCAGCTCACCTCCATAAGACATAAAAGTTGAATCTTCTGCAGCAGAAGTGCTTCATTTGCGGCCAGATCTGGCTGTGAGAGGATAACATGAAACACGTTCATTAGTACTTATTTCCCCCCCACCCCTGGGAGCACACCGTACACTGACGGAAGCCACTTGGCAACCTGTTATCCTCATTTACAAGGGAAAGACACCTGTTACAATCCACCTACTGCTTGGCAGTGAGTCCCATAAAACAAGTCTGCATGCTTAAATGCAGGGCTTCAAAAGATGGGCAGCCTGCTATTAAACAGCCACAGCCTGGTAGAAGCAGCCAGGTCAACCTGCAAAGTACTGCTATGTCCATAATCATGGAATCAGAAAATCCGGAGTTGGAAGCGACCCACGAGGATCACTGAGTCGAACTCCTGGCTCCACACGGGGCTTCCTAAAAACTAAACTGAACGCAAGCCCTATAAAGAGTGGCTGAGGGAACTGGGGGTGTTTGGTCTGGAGAAGAGGAGGCTCACAGAGACCTCATTGCTCTCTACAGCTACCTGAAAGGAAGATGGGGGGAGCTGGGGGTCAGCCACTTCTCACTGATAATTAGTGATAGAGCTAGAGGGAGTGGCCTCAAGTTGCACCAGGGGAGGTTCAGGCTGGAAATGAGGAGACATTTCTGCTCAGAAAGAGCAGTCAGGCACTGGGACGCGTTGCCCAGGGAGGTGGTGGAGTCACCGTCCCTGGGGGTGTTCAAGGAAAGGTTGGACGTGGTGCTTGGGGATATGGGTTAGTGGGGAAATTGGTGGTAGGGGGTGGTTGGACCAGATGGTCTTGAAGGGCTTTCCAACCTGAATGATTCTGTGCTTCTATGGAAGAAGCATCGCTATGCTATGATTAAAATTACACCCATGCGAAGATTCAGGAAATTTAACTCAAGTTAAAGGATCTCCTAAGCAAACTCTGTAAACCAAGCCTAGCCTTAAGCAACGTAACTCATTCACTCACCTGCTGCCCCCATGCTGACTTCAAAGCCTGAAACGTCTCCACATTACCACTGTTGAAGGCATAAAGTGTATCAATTAGCCACTGCCTGTCAGTGTTCCTCAGGGACTCCAGAACAGGGTGCATGAGCTGTAGAATGCAGACAAGACTGTGTTAAAAGGGTAAAATCAACTTGTGGTACTTAGGAGCTGAAACACAGCAGCAGCAACTTACCAGCTCCCCAAAGTTATAAACACCTTCTCCCAGGAGCCCTGCCAGCCCCAGGGTAAAGGCTCTCTCCTGCTGCTCTGACACTGCAGGAAAAAAAAAAATACAAACCACATTCAAAACAAAAATAAAAGTCAGGATGAAGCAGCAGCCTAAGACCCATCACCCCTTCCCTCACCCTCCTCTCTGTGTCTGTATTAAATCATCTCCAGCCTTCCTCCTCCTCATCTACTCCCATGACTGTCACTGCAGGCTTCTGAAGTTCAACAGTAGTGGCACAAACTGGCTATTTTTTAAACCTATTTTGAAGATTTTGGGGAACTACAAAAAAACTATCCCTTCCAGGAGAAGCACTATCCCCTGCCCCCACCCCTTCAATACACTTGTGTCAAATCTTACTCAGGCATTCTTTTGGTGTTCCCCTTCCCCCTAGATCCTGACCCAACAATGACAGATTCACAATAACATTGAGAAAACTTCTTCTCTGCCAGTGCATTTACTTAAAATGGTAAAAGAGAATGGAAGTTGGGGCTTTGCGTGCTTGGCGACGGAGTTACCTGGCAGATCTTTAACATCGATGCATCCCAGGAAGCGCAGAGCATCCTTGTAGTAGGAGGCGTGGTTCCCAATCGTCTGGTAGTACTTGCTGGAAAGGTCGTAGAAGCGGCTGTGAACTGAAGTCACCCCGGGGAGATTGTTCAGCATCTCCTCAACCTCCTCGATGGTCTCCTGGAGGAGAGCAGGCAGTCTGTTTGTTACAGGTAAGGGCAGCAGCTCACACACGTCCACCTCCCAGTTTACTGGGAAGGGGTTTGCACTCCTGCTTGTTCCAGAAGTAGCACCCATTCAGCAGTAAAGCAGATGAGGCCACTGCCAAAGCCCAGAGGATGACAGAAAACAAGGCAGGAAACGAAGTACTGCGCCTCAATCCTTGTTAGCTGAACATCACCAAGCACCCTAAACCCTGCTGATTCCAAAAGGCTCTGAGTTGGGACCCAAAATACATGAAGAGCTCTCCTCTTCTCACCTTTGTGACCTGCAGGTCTCCAATGTTCAGCTTCAGGGCCCCAATGGCCGTTTTACACAGAATGACAGCTTCATCGCTGCTTTTTACCTGCAGTTACACAGAGAGACAGTTAGAGAACATCACCACCCCAGCCTGGCAGGCTCCTGAAACCTCAAGGTAGTTGCATTCCATTTGTTAACAGGCTCCTGCCTTAAAATACAGGATCATTCACCACAGAGAGTAAGTGTTCTCCAGTGCAGGTCTCAACACACACAGTCTGCCTCTTCAGCTATATGATGTGCTCACAAGCAAAACAATTCCTGAAAGCAAATCACCAGAAAGTGCAACCTCTAAATTACCTTTTCTCGAGTCTTCTCCAAAAAAGTAAGGGCCACCGTGGGATCTGGAGTGGAGAAAAAAAGCAGCAATATCAGGAATTCCAGCCAAAATAAATCTCAGCCTTGAAAGAAATCTTTTAACAGAATTCAAGAAGACTGGAGTATTTTTCCTAGTGTATTGCTCCACCTCCCAGAGATGCAGATAGCCTGGCCTACAGACAGTGGCACAGCAGCTAATTCTCCAACAAAACAGCTCTCATACAGCAGCAATTCTTTCAGCTCTTCCTGTTGGTGCTTCCCTTTTCAGCATAACCAGAACACAACAGCTAAGCTTTGGATATTTGGCCATTCCTATTAACTAGTTACATTTTAGTCATCCCTTTTTAAAAACACTGTAGGCAGCGGGTAAGGTCACCTACCTGTCATCTGCCTCACTACATGAAGGATGATCTCTACGAGGGACAAGGGATTCACCCTGCAACAACAGAAAAGTCACTGCCACAGGAGTCGTAGCTGGCGGCACATTACCCAAAAACCTCCAGGCAAACAAACTCACCTGTGTTCAAACTCACTGATGAAGTTCTCATAAAGCTGTGGGTACAAAGACACTGGCAGTCAGGGCAAAATTATATTTTGTTTTATCTACGATACTCAGTTTTCATTGCATTCCTATTCATCCCTTCAACAAAGCAGTGGGCATCCAGCAGAGGAATGCCTACGGCACGCAAAATTCAGAAGCCCCAGGTTTTTTATTTTGGATAATTTTGTCTGTTCTACACCTAGAAACTAACAGCTCTTTATCGCAGAAAGAAGTACAAAGTGGGATTTGGACGGAAAAACACAAAGAGGGAAAACATACTACTCATGCAAGAAGTTATCTCCAGACACAGAAAGGCTTCCCAGAGAATGGGTGAAACAAAATACTGAATGATTTGAAGCAACTGTGAGCATGACAATCCACCCTGTGTTTGGGATCATAACCCTTTTGTTGTGAAAGGAAAGAGACTCCCTCTGCACCCCAAAACAATCTCAAGTGCCCAGAATTAAGCCAGCATTGGATGGAAGCTCCTCACGCTAACACATTTAATCTCAGCGGGTTTTTAACACATTAACTAAAGCCCTGCACGCCTCATAATCCCCTCCCCAAACTGAATTCACCTGGAGTGAATCCAGTCCCAGAGTGCTTGCAGCCGGTACTGACACCGCCCCGACTGATCCGTCCCTGGCAGCAATAACCCCCGGGGAGGGGGATCCCCGCGTGCCTCACCTTGATGAGCCCATCTCCCTGGGCGAAGCACGGGTCCTGCACGAAGTCCAAGACCTGCAGCGTCAGCTGGTGCCACAGCCTGTACAAACCACAGAGCCGCTCAGCGCCCCGCTCCCCACACCGGCCCCACGCCCCTGCTCAGCCCCCAGCCCCGACATCCCCCCACATACACCCCACCCCCCCGTACCCCCTCGCGGCCCCCCCGCGCCTCACTTCTTGTTGTAGAGCTCCTCCAGGCGGTGCCACACGGCGGCCTGCCCCGGCCCCGAGCTCTGGCTCTGCTGCAGGAAGCCCGGCACGTCCTTCATGGCAGCGGCGGCCCCGATCCGGATCCCGATCCCGATCCCAACCCCGATCCCGATCCCGCTCCGGCCCCGGCCCCGCGCAGCGACACCGACACCCAGGGGGGCAGCACCCCGCCGGAAGTGCGCACTCACTTCCGGCCCCGCGCGAGGCGCGCTGGGTAACCCCGGTAACCATGGCAACGCCCCCAGGCCTAGGCCAAAACAATGGGCGCGCGGCAATGCGCTCACTTCCGGCCCCGCGCGGGGCACGCTGGGCCCATCTCCAAGTAGCCATGGCAACGCCGGGCTCCCACCTCCCCAAAAATAAAATCATTAACAACTAAGTAAATAAGTAAATAAGTAAATAAATAAATAAACAAACAGTGAAAGCACTCCTCTCCGGCCCCGCGCGGGGCGCGCTGGCCGTGGCAACGATTTATTTTTTTTTCCTCCCCTCTCATAAAAAAATAAATCAGAAAAAAAAATAAAAACACGCCAAAATAAAATAAAATAAAATAATAATAATAATAATCCTAAAAAGACACACACACCCCCAAATCCCTCCTTTCCGGTCCCGCGCGGGGCACGCTGGGTCCCCCCCGCAGCTATGGCAACGCCTCCCCCTCGGAAAAAAAAAATAAAAAAAAAATAAACCAGCCCCAAAAAAGCCCGGCCCGGCCCCAAAGCGGGCCGCGGAGCCATGGAGCGGGGGGCCCGGCGCGGGGCCGTGGCGGCCGGCGGCCTCCTGGCGGCGGGTGGGGGCCGGGATGGGGGGAGAGGGCTTGGGGGAAGGGAGAGGGCAGCGGGGGGTGGGCGAGGGCTCGGGGCCGGGAGGGGCGCCGGGGGGAGAAGCAGGGGGTGAGGGGCAGGGCTGGGCGCTGGGGCAGGCTGTGGGGACCCCCCCCGAGCCGCCCCCTCAGCGGCTCTGTGCTTTCTTGCAGCATGGAGGAGCCTCCGGGAGCGCGGCCCAAAGGATGGAGGCGGCCGCCAGGGCCTGGCTCAGCTCTTGTCCTGCTGCGGGATGGGCTGCGGAGCGTGGAGGTGGGCTGCGGGGCTGCGGGGAGCAGGCACCCCGCACATGGGGTTGCTGCCTGCTCCTGCCAGGTCTCTGCACCCATATGGGAGCAGGACCCCCGTGGGAAGGGGCTCACACTCCTAGGTTGAAACTACGGAGCTCCTCCTGTCTAAACGGGCACACGGGCTCCGTGTCTGTGAGCCTGAGCTGGTGTGTGCCAGCCTGGGAGCTCGAGGAGCCCTACTCCTCGGAGTAGGGAGGTTTAGCCGAAAAATGTCAGCGTTTGCCAGGTTATGAATTTAGCTCTCTCGGAATCTGGCCTGGCAAGGCAGAGCCACGTCCTTGTCAGCCACGCTGAGGGCGATGTTAGAACTCGATAATTGTTATCTGCAGATTGCCAGGATCCAGCAGCTCCCTCTTGGCTCTTCACGTTCCCACGCCTTCCCTGGACTGCTCTTAATGTCCTGCACTAGCAAGCACTAATTGTCCAGGGAGAAACTGTTCCTTGAGATGATAATGACTGTTCTCAGCCCCATCTGCATGTACTGCTGACCTGCAATTCCTTTAGTCATTTTCCATTTATACGTGGAGCTCTCCCAAGGCAGAGCCCCCGGGGAAATAGAGAACTGGTGAAATGTCTGTGCTAACCCAGGGCAGTGTTGTCCCAGAGTGACCACACCACCTTGTTAGAAACTTCTTGAAACCAAAACCATAGAGAAGAGTCTTCATTATCCCAGAAGCATTGCAAGTAGATTATGAGACTTGCAGTTCCCTGAATGCTGTTCTCACAGTCCTGTGTCCACTCCCTGTGCAAAACAAACAAACAAAAACTCTCAGGGGAATATGGTGCGTTTTGATTTGGCATTTTTAGATCTTTGTAAGGAAGTGTAATGCAAAGCACCTTTTCCTATGGTATTAGACTAGTGCTTAAGCTTTCTCCTCCTTGATTAAGTACCAGCTCACAGTCCTGCAGATTGAAGAGCTTTCTGCAATTTCTTGGGGTGTTTTTCTCCCCCTGAGCAGTTCTTTCAGCTGAAGTCTCTGACAGCATGCTACCTGCTGTGCTTTCTCTCTGTTCCAAGCAGGATCCAAGGAACCAGGCCCTTCTCGCTGTCTGCTGCCACTAGAGCCATTTTAGGATTGGGCAGATGGGGAGATGATGGTGGGAAGAAGCCACTCACCCTGCAGGACGTGGCAAAGCTAATTCGGAACAAGGAGTGTCGCCGAATAGTGGTGATGGCTGGTGCTGGGATTAGCACCCCCAGTGGTATTCCAGATTTTAGGTAATGCCTTCATTGCTTTATTTATCCTTTTTCAGTGCTGGGACTGCCAGGATCAGGTGTAGGTAATGGTGGTGCCTGCTACATTTTATTTGTCTGTGCCAGGCTAGGCTAATCACAGGATTTTTCTTCCCTGCTTATTCTCTGTCCGCTAGTGGCAGGCTGGCACTACTCTGGGTCATGTTTTGGCCCAGATCTTCAGGATGATAGTCGTGCTTGCTGCTTGGGTCTGTGGCTGCATTGATTGCACCACATTGGCCCTTCCAACTCTGACTGTCAGCACACCTCTGCAGCCAGAAGGTGGGGTGGCACGTTGTCCTGTGCAGAGGTGGTTTCAGGTGCTCTCCTGATGCAGCTCTGCTCTGAATGGATGATGCAAAGCAGCAAGAGACCGCAAGGACCTGTTTGTGTGCTCTGTTGTGTCTGGATCTGGTTCTCTTCCTGCAGTCTGACCACCAGTCCTGCTTTCCTCTCTTTGCAGGTCCCCAGGGAGCGGCCTCTACAGTAACCTTGAGCAGTATGACATCCCTTATCCAGAAGCCATCTTCGAACTGACCTATTTCTTTGTCAACCCCAAGCCCTTTTTCACTTTGGCCAAGGAGCTGTACCCTGGAAATTACAGACCCAACTATGCCCACTATTTCCTGAGGCTCCTGCATGACAAAGGGCTCCTTCTGCGGCTCTACACCCAGAACATTGACGGGCTGGAGAGAGGTGAGTTTTCTCTTCCCCAACTCTCAATGGCAAAATACCAGGAAGAGGGTAAAGAGTAGGAATGGGTAAATGCCTAGTGAACAAGGAGTTTCTGGGTCAGTCACCTCATGCTGAGCTGATCCATCCCCACGTGCTGTGTTCCAGCTGCTGGGATCCCTCCTGACAGACTGGTGGAAGCCCACGGCACCTTCGCCACTGCCACTTGCACGGTCTGTCGAAGGAAATTCCCGGGAGAGGACTTCAGGGTGAGTGGTCACAGCTGGGCATTGACACAAACCAATGCAAAAAGAACCTATTGCAGGCCCATTACTTTGCCCTCAGGGCCAGCAGGGCTTGTTGGAGGGGATTAGGCTTGATGTAAGGAAACGGAGGGGCTGGATGTTGCAGCAAGGCTACGACGTGGTTGTGACCCTGCTCGTGCAGGTACGTGCTGCCCCGTAACGAGTGGTGTTGGGTGCTTTTACTTCAGGGGGACGTCATGGCAGACAAGATCCCTCACTGCCGTGTCTGCACTGGAATTGTCAAGCCTGACATCGTGTTCTTTGGCGAGGAGCTCCCGCAGCGCTTCTTCCTGCACGTGACAGACTTCCCCATGGCAGACCTGCTTTTTGTCATCGGGACATCCCTGGAGGTCTGGGGCTAGGGAACACCCGGTCTCACAAGAAGGAAAAGGCACACCAACAGGGCTGAGGGCCTTTGGAGGACAGAGGGGGCTTAGAGAAGGCAAGAAACTGGGTTTCAAGGTAAAACGTGAGGTGGCAAGGTGAGAAATAGGGTGCATGCGCTCTATGAAGTCGAAAAATGTTGTGTGCTCCTGGTAAAGGTGGGCACCTAATGAGGAAGAAGCGTTTTTTGTGTCTACCCGAAGACAGGCCACCAGATAACTGGTGACATCTGTGATTTGCTCAAATCTGGGGTAGCTTAGCCCACAGTGGGAGAATCTGATAAGCACTAACAAAGTCCTGGTGTGCAGTGAGTGAGTTCATGCCTTCAGTGCCCCTCAGCCAGGTGACAGTGTCTCTCTGCTCCTCTGGGTTGCCTTCCTTCAGGTGGAGCCCTTTGCCAGCCTGGCAGGAGCTGTTCGCAGCTCCGTTCCCCGTGTCCTCATCAACCGCGATCTCGTAGGACCGTTCGCCTGGCAGCAGCACTACAACGACGTAGCCCAGCTGGGGGACGTGGTCGGCGGGGTCGAGAAGCTGGTGGAGCTGCTGGGCTGGAACGAAGAGATGCAAGCACTAATTCAGAAGGAAAAGGAAAAGGTGGGAAGGGGCTCAGAGCCCCATCTCCCTCCCTTAGCCTCTTCGTTCCTCATGCTGGAGTTATCTCGGGGGGAGCAGCTGGTGCTTGCTGGGATTAGAGACTTGTACCCCAGACATTGCCACGCTTGCAGTCTGCATTCAGAGAGAAGGACCACAGAAACGTGCAGAAGGGTTACAAAAAAGAAAAACAGCAAACCCAAGTGGTATTTCACAATGAAGGCAGACGCAATGCCTGCCTTGGTGCCTTGGTTTCATTTCTAGTGGCTTTTCTGGTCATTTGTGAGAAACAGGTAATGCTACAAGTGAAAGTTGTCTCTCACTGTGCCACAGCTGACACCAGCTGAGGTGCTGCAGTGGCAGGTATGCTGCAGCCACCAAGCAGCACACAGCAACAGCAGCGCTGAGTTGCTAATGAAAGACTTGGCACCTCTTTTTTTCACCTGATTATTTCACCATGCCATTCTTCTTACATCTGTACTCTTTTGATATCTTCAGAAGTGAGAAACTGTCAGCAAGCAAGTTCTTAATTGCTTTAAATTTAATGCTAATGTTAATTATTATATTACTTTAGATCCACTGGGAAGATTTTTCCACATGCGGCATGAAATGCTCTAAACTTTTTTTCTTTTTAATTTAAGCCAAAATTTTAACTTGTGGGCCAGGCCAATTCTTCTGCTTGTGACCATGCGCACAGCTCCGTCCTCCGTAGCAGGGCTCTGACAACTTGCTGCAGTGAGAAGCCAGTTGTATTTTTAAGAGTCTGTATGTTAATGTTTGCACACAATTTAACCTGACCCAAGAGAAAATGTGGCTTCAGTGTTCCAAGTTGAATGTTAAGGTTGTTCTAACTTTCATCGGATTGTTGGATAGGAATGAATAAGAAGTTTTAGGTTTAATTAGGAATTATTGGTTGGGTTTTTGATTTCTCATTGTAAGACATGTTGCATTTGTATGAGCAACCGGTCTTTGATGTAATGTTTGTGCTGTTCTGCATCTCAGAGGGATAAAGCTGGTGCAAATGTGGTAAAGCATGAAAAAAAAAAAAAGCCTCCTCGCTCTGGGATTTTGGTGTTAGCAAGCATCACGGACTGAAATAGCAGGGGAGGGGAGGTATGAAACACCCCAGCAAACACTGTGTGGTCTTTCTATTTTTAGCTGGATGCAAAAGACAAATAGGACAGCTGGCTCCCTGCTGCTGGAGAGCAACATTCACCTTGAAGAGGAGACTTTGTGCCCAGCATGGGCAGAGAACAGTATGATGGCAGGGAGCTGTGGGAGAGGCCATCCAGCTCTGCAGCAGCAAGTCTACCTGGGACTGGCACTCCGGCAGGAGGGGGATGCTCACAGCTCAGTCCAGCATGCCTGCAAGCAGACCAGCGAGGCCTTCACCATGAAGGAAGGGAAGCTGAAGGGAGCGAAGCCCAAATACCAAGCTGCAAACTGGTCCTGCACGTGAAGGCTTTTCTACTTGAGACTTCAGAACAGTTTATGTAGCCAGTGAACATTGTTCTCTCCTCGACTTACCTCATTTCAGCACCCACTAGGAGACACTTTCCTCTTCTGTGGCTGTTGCCCTGTCAGCATGCTATTTCACCATGTCCAGCCATGAGACTTTCACCAGTAAGTCACTGGGAGCTCCTGGGCTCACACCAGCATGCCAGACAAGATACCCAGCTGCAGTTTATGGTTAGCATCTCCCTCTTTCTGAGCCATCCATCCTTGGAGACCCTCAAGGGACTTCACAGAGCCAGAGTTGAAAGTGCCACTGAAAGTCAGGCCTTACAGCAGCTGGTTAGAATCACTTAATTCTGGAGTGAGTTTCCCAGCTGCCCCCACAGGGCTGAGCATCTACCAACTCATTTCACAGCTCCTCCACAGGATATTTTTGTCTTAGTCGTGATCTTTCAGCTGCTGCAGACTTGTAGCATTTAGTCTTTGGATGAAACCTGTGCTAATCAGGAGATGAATGCTGTTAATGTGCCTGCAACTGGGGCCTAGCCCCTGGTACTGTTCAGGAAGGCCAAATCAAGCCACTGGAAGAGCTGTCAATCAGTACAGTATTAATTATTTAATAATAAAAAGAGTTCATATTCTTTTGCTGATGACAGCTGAGGGTTTTTCTGTCAAATTCACACATTCCCTAAGTCTTCGAATACATTCTCTTCCCCCATTATCACTCTTTCACCTGCTTTTTATCTGTCCCTGCTCCCTTTTTTCTTTCCTTTTAACTTTACAAGGGTGCCTTTCTTCCCTGTAAATGCTGTCCCAGGGAGAGGCAGTTATCAGGACACTGCACTTACCTCCCACTCCTTCCCAAACATGCCCTAGGAGACATACTTTGCACGTCACAGGTGTTGCAGAGCATCTTCCCTGCAACAGGGCATGAAATTCATTGCCACTGGTTCCAAATTTGGCTGTGGGGATTAAAGTCACATCCAGGTGGCCCAGAGTGACGCACCTAATGCCACAGCAACCATTCTATGCACAGTCCCAGATTAAAACAAGCTCTAAACAAGCGCAATAAAATGCAAAACATTTTACACCACCACAGTGTTAGTCAACACTCAAATGCAGAAAATCATAGAGAAGAGAACAAAAGCATTTAAGCATACAGCTACGTTTTACTAATACAACACTGGTAACTTCTATGCTCTAAAAGCTGTTTCTGAGGAAAAGCTAGAGCCTCAAAAAGCTGTCATATGGCTGATTATATATATAATTAGAAGTGTTTGGACCTAATGCTCAGCTGCTGTAAATCAGACTAGCTCTAGGAATGCTACTGAAGTCAGGATGGGATCAGAGATTTGTGTTTGGTGTCCTAGCAGCTTCCTAGAAAAAAGGCTTGAACAAACTCCCAGCCAGATGAACAGACTTGTTTATCCAAATGTGCAATTCAAATATATCGGCACGGTCCGCCTCACAGTCAGGATCCCAGCAGTGGGTTCATTTGAATGTGCAGCATCAGTAAAAGCAGAGGGGTTGTTCCCACTTTGCAGAGCACTAGAAGCCTCGTGGCACACGGTTTCACAGTGAAAACGAAGGGAATGTGTTGTTTTAGACATGTTGTTTTTAGATCGTACCCTGCTACTTACCCAGAAGTGGCCTGTGGTGAGCGCAGCCCCTGCCTGCACTGGCACTTTTGAAATCAGGGCTCATCAGGGTTTTAAGCAGGATATTTGAATACAAGAATAGTACAAGCGTTCCATTAAAAAACAAGCAAAAAACCCTTTTCTTTCACATGTAAAGCTTGAGAGCCTTACCAGCTAGAAAGAGATCAGAGGTTTGCATTTTCACGTAGAAGATTGAGGGTGGTGGGTTTGTTTGTTTGGTGGTGTTACTCTTTCTTCCTGTTACTCAAAACAAAACAAAATCAAAAAAGGGCGATACAGTTGGCCTGAAGGCTCCAGCTGTGATGTGCTGAAGCTATGCCATGATCTGTCATGATCTCATGACAAAGCTATCCACCATTTTCAGTGGGTCAGTTTCACATAAACACTGTACACCCCTGGGAGAATCTGTAACTTTAATCATGACTGCTAAAAAAAACAAAAAAAATCATAATCACGCTGAAGAACTAACCTGGCAGTTATGAAGCATTCTTTCATCTCTTCTTCATGCACAGACAGCCTTACAAAAGCAAGCGCTGGTTCCTAAATACACACGGGCAGGAACAACTGCAAACCCTCTGATTCCTCCCCTGCTGCCCTCAGCTGCAGCCTCCCTGGACCCAAATGGTTTCAGGTCCTGCTGCAAAGGCTGAGCAGCAAATCCCTGTTGCACAGAAAGAAAACAGAGCTGGTGTGCAGGATTTTCAACCACTACAGAACATTTGCAAAGCAGATGAAGAACAGTCCTGTAAACAGCTGCCTGCTGTGAGGCACAAGGGGCACATCGACATCAGAAAAGGCTTTTTAATAAGCATGTCAACAGCAAGAGGAGACCTAAGGAAGACATTGGACTGATACTTGGCAAAGATGGTCACCTTACAAGCAGGGATGAGGAAAAGGCAGAGGCACTTAATGCCTTTTTGGCTCAGTTTTCACTATTAATGATGGACCTTGGGCTGCCCAGTTCTTTGAGCTGGAAGACCTTGACTGGGGGAGTAGTGACATTTCCTCTGCGGCCACTGAAATTACGAGGGACCAGTTGTGTCAGCTGAATGGCCAGCAGTCCACTGGGCCTGATGGGATTCACCCCAGAGTACTGAAGGAGTTACGCAATGTAACAGATGAACCTTTCTCAACAACTCACCAAAGGTTTTGAGACTCAGTTAGTCCTATTCCAACTCAACTATTCTAATTTAAAAAAGGACTAAGTTTTGTTTGTTTTTGTAAACTAAGGACTGAAGCTTGAGGATTAAATTCAGATTGCCCCATTCAGATACATTTAGTGGCTGCGGTACAGTGGGAGGTTCTGACCTAGCTTCATTTTAATGCTGCAATTTTACCTCCCAAATAAAACTGAAGTTCAGGGTGGCTGCAGCAAAACCATGTGTTAATTAGAAAAAGATATTTCCTTACTTGCCCAGAAATACCACATTTGATGAATCACTGCCATGTGCAAATTCATCAGAAGGTTTCCTTTATTCTAGCATCATGTTTGCATTCCTATTTGTGCTAATACTAAGAGTTCCAAAACTTATAAGACAAACAGGAATATTTTCTTTAAAACATTTTTCTTTAGAAATAAAAAAAAAAAGGAAAAAAAAGACAAATCTAAGCCATGGCAAAGGACAAGACCAACACCAGCCCCTGGGTGCAAACAGCAGTGGGTCTATGGGAAAGCCAAGGCAGGTGAGGAGGCAGCACACAAAGCACGTATTTTGGCCTTTCATTCAGGAAGTGTGAGATTGGGAAAGGCTGATGATGCCAAAACCTAAACTCCGTGGCATTGGGAATGTTGCACAATGCCACAGACTAAATCTCAGAGCATTGCTGGCAGTCACCTGCAAGTTTCTTTCCTGTGATCAACGGGAACACACTAGAAATGTCATCAAGGCCTCCCCTCCTGCCTGCTCCCCACGGCACACACACCAGTGCTCCCCTCGGACACACGAGTACATCCATGCAGCCCTGCTTGCACAGACACAGTCACTCTCACTGCCACACATAGCACACACACACGTACAGCTTCCTGCTAATGAAATGGGCGCACGATGCTGAGGCACCCCACAAATACCATTCCCCAAAACCATGGTCAATAACTGCTCACACTCCTCCCCTGCAGCCCCACGTTCCTGAGGAGCAGCTCCCCTCACATCGGGCTGACTGTACATACAGGGACACGTACACGCTGCTGACACGCAGCCACAGAAGTGTCAGCACATACACAAGATACTCTGCAGATTAGTGATCCCTGATGGTATGACAGAAAGATTCCCCCCCGACCCTTTTTCCTAAACCACATATTTAAAAAAAAAAAATCCTACTGAAAAGTCCTGGAAGCAATTTGGAGTGTGAAATCCTCAAAGCTGCCAAATGGGAGAGACCAAGGTAGAGCCAGGCCGTGACGATCCCCTGGAAGGAGAGGTGGTTATGGAGCTGGGGAGGTGGCAGGAGGTGTTCTTCCCTGTGGACTGTGAGGGTCCAGGCTGGATTCAGACACCACAGGGAGAGTCCTGGCCCAGTACTAGCCTCTGGGTGCAGCACCAGTTCCGAAGGGAGAACAGAGAGAGGCTCCCCAGCTCTCTGAGGCTGGGGCAAGAGGTCTGGATCAGTCCAGCCCCAGGTCTGAGTCAGATGATGACCTCTCGTCAGCCATATCACGGATGGCGTTCTCCATGGGGGCCAGGTTGCCGCTCGGCGTGATGCCCATGGGCTGGATGACTTGCTCTCTGCAACCAGGGTGGAGAAAGGGGGGAAGGTAACAAATTTAAACAGAAGTTTACAGCGGAAATTACTGCAGAGACAGACGCATCCTACAGCAGGAACGCTGGACCTGTGCAAACTGCCATGGGGCAGAGCCCAGACCGACCCTGAGCCAGCAGCAAGAGCTGTATGAGGTCAGAACACCCTCAGCAGATCCTGGGCTCCTCTCTGCGATGCCAATTAACCACAGATGAAAGATGACTGGAGAAAGCATTCCCACAGGGAAGGGGACTTGCTGGCACTAGCTGCCATGTGTCCCCAAACTGCCATCTCCTACTGAGCGGCCTTGCTAGGACCATGGCTGCTGCTGCTGCTGCCTAGTACTCAGCCAACCCTGGGGAGGTGGCAAGTGCTTGGAAACCCACCATAGGCATGTAAGGGAATTTCATGGCAAGCCATAGGACCAAAGAAGTCTGTAGGGCTTGCAATGCCTTCCCCTAGATGTAACAGCACCCAGCTTAAGGAAATTTGGAAATATTTCTCCATGGATCTCTCCCACTGCCTTATGTCCCTTCAGTTTGCAGATGCTTCGAATGCATTCCCAAGGCCAGTGATAAATGTAAGTTACAGACACCCAGGTGTTAATACAGACATGACTACACACAATCTTCTAGTACCTGGACAATTTGTCAAACATGTTGACTAACTTCATGGCTTCATATTCCTTCTGCTCTTCAGTCATCCCTTCCATGGGGTTGGGGAGTTTCTCCTCAACACGTCCTGTGACAGGGTTAATGCTACAAGAAGAAAAGTGAGAAAAAAGGTAAAGGTAGAGGAATACAACATCACAGCTAAGGGTGAAACTTAAATAATGAAGAAGGAACATTGCACATGAAACACAAGGGAGGTGGCAGGGTGGCAAAGGAGGGAGGTAAAGCACAGAGGTAAGAAAGCTGTTTAAAAACTCTCTTTACCTATACTAAGTAGAGGAATGCACTGGCAGAGCTGGTTGTAATTGCCACAAACCAGTGCCCTCTGGTCTCGCTGCCTAGGTTAGGTCTTGTGTTATTGCAGTGCAACAACACATTGACTCTGATCTCTTCCTGGATGTCCTACACGCAATCCTCCCCTGATACAAATCCCTCTCACTTCTCTGGTGAGAAGTTCCCATCCTGCCAATTCCACCATGCAGGTTTAAACCACGTGCACAAGGGGAGGCAACACATCTTTCATCTCCTTAAGTCAGTAAGCAAAAAAAATAACACCAAAAAGAATTAAAAAAATAAAGCGTAAACCACATTTTATGGGATGCTGGAAAGTGTGGGACTCACAGTTGAGAACAATTCTGGAGCTCTCCCTTCACACATTTCACCCCTGAATTACCACCACTCAATAGTGAGGAAAGGAGAAAAATAAAAAGAAATAAAAATTCACTCCAGCAGCACAGGGCTCTGGAGCTGGAGAGAGGTAATTGACACTTTCAACCCTACTGCAATGCCAGGAAAACCCTTGTCCCCTATATCCCAGTGCACAGTAAAACCCTGCCTTTATGTGGGGCCACCAAAAAGGTGTACAGGATACCAACTAGAGAGATGCTGCCACATGCACATTGCGAGCAGTTCTGGTGCAGAACAGGCTCTGGCTAAGGCATCTACTTTGCTCTAGAGGCTGTGCCCAGCTGTAGGAACTGGGTCTACCTACCAGTGACCACACACACCATGAGTAGCTCGGCTACAGAGGCTTTTCACCCAAAAAAAAGGTAAAGGTAGCGGAATACAACATCACATCTAAGGGTGAAACTTAATGAAGAAGGAACATTGCACGTGAAACACAAGGGAGGTGGCATGGAGGCAGATGAAAAAAGGGACAGAGGAATGGGAAGGAGGTGTAGGAGTAAGGGTGCTACAGAGGGGGAGCAGAGTTCTGTACTTGGGCTTTGCCTCTTTGTACTCTTCTGTGTCAGTGTCTTCATCTTCCGAGTACTCTCCCTCTTCCCGACCTCCAGCCATGAGGCCTCGCGCTGCCAGGAGCCCAGCCGCGTTCCCATAGCCTGTGTACTTCACAAACCGTGACACTAAAGGGAGGACAGAGAGACAGATCACCCTGTGTTTCCCCTCCTGCCTCTGCAGCCCTGCCGGCTCCTCCATGCTCTGACAGCAAGATTGGTTCAAGGCCATGGAGATGCAGAAATGCCAGTGTTTCTGTGAACCCGGTGACAGGGAGCAAGGCTCCCACACCGTGCACCAGGAATGGCAAGGACAACACACACACGGTGTGGGGGGAGTCTGAAAGCAGGTCAGGCTATCTCCAGCGTGTCAGGGTGTCCTTCAGCAGAGCTTTCCTATCACCACTGGCATGAGAGGCAGCAAGCCCTTGCAAACTCCACTCTCTTCCCTAACTAATGCATCCAGCCCAAGGGAAGACAGAGTTCCTGGTGTCTGCAGAGCCACCCATCCCACACTCTGACTTGTCCAGAGGCCAGGAGGCTCCAGGATTCCCTCTCACCAAAGCGTGCAACAAGCCCCTGTGACTCACCGCTCTCCTTGCAGAGCACAAAAAGAAACTCGGCTGCGCAGTGTTTCACGTCGGTGTCGATGTGGGTCATCAAACGCACCAGCTTGTTCCGCAGCGAGTTCCCCACCTCCGGACGGTTCTTCACATCCCGGAGCGGAGGCAGCACCTACAAGGCCACAGTGAAGGGGGATCAGTGGAGCTGGGACATGCAGGGGAAAAAGTACATGCATTTTACAAATCAATTAAATCTAATGAACCCACAGAGTGTGAAGAAAAAACACTGTAGGTATGTATCATGGGCTTCAACCCCCAGTATGTCAGAACCTAATATTGAGAGAGAGGAGCTCCCTCTCTTTGGATGGCAATATTTAGGCAGCTTGCTCTTCCCCTCTCTTTCAGTTCAGCATCACTTGACTTTTAGTTGGAACCACAGAGTACCTTTGCCTTCAGGAACTTCCTTGTCTGGCGGTGGACTCGGGCGCTCTCAGTCAGCAGGTTCAGCACAGGGGTCAAACTCTCCTTCAGCTTGTGGCCCTGGAGAAGCATTCACAAAAACAAGCAACATGTCAGTGACACCGAGTTCGATCTCTCTGGCTCGTGGTGGACATCACGAGTACCGAGTGGCAAGGAAACGGATGGACACCGAGGCAATTCCAGCCTCTGCAACAGGAGTTTCAGTGCTTCATCACTCCTCTAACTCCTCAGGCTTTCTGAGTCCTGCTCTGCAGCACAGCAGTGCTAGAAATAGTTGTGCAGAGCTTCAAGCACAGAGAAGTGTGGTGGTAATATTTGGAGGACCTTTGGAATAACTCCAGAGACTGCAAACCACCGCCAGCTCAGTAACAATGCAAATTCAGGCTTTCAGAAACAGAGGAACAAAAGAGCACAAGGGGCTCGGAAGGAGTGAAGAAAGATGAATGGTACTGATAAATAAGAGCATGACTGCCAGTCCTCAGACAGCAGACTGCTTGGGGAGTGTCAGAAAAACCCATCAAACAATTTGGCTGCATCCAAACAATTAAGCTGCCAGCAAATCACCATTTACTTGAGTGAAACCGAGCACTTCTATTTTAATCACCCAGCTAACCATCTGCTGCTCAACCGATCTCACTACCAGCAGTAGCAGCAATGACACAGCGACCCTCCCGGTTCATAGATATTGTTTCAATCCTACCAGCGATAATGGTTTTGCTTCTGCCAAAAACAGCCACTTCTGCAAGGCACTACCTCCAAAGTAACCGTGCCTTGCTGGTGCTCCTGTGGTTTTGACATGACATGGCGGCGCTGGGCTTTTCAAGGCTGAATGCAGGGAAGGTGCCCTGCAGTGAACTTGTGAAACGAGCAGCCAAGAACTCTGCACAGCAGCCTCTCAACTTACCCTGTCAAGGCGGCGTTCTAGGAAATCCAACAGGATGTTGACTGCATCCATGTTGACACCCATGTACTCAAGCGAGCCGGGCCGGACTTTTGGGGTCAGGAGGACATCCAGACATTTCAGGGGCAGGTTGCCCAAAAGGTTAACTGTATGGCTGAACATGTGAAAGAAGAAGAGTGAACACACAGTCAGGGATTTTTGTTCATAGAAATTCTTTAGCTATCCAGAAATTAAGGTTTGTTAACAACTTCCAGGAGTGCAAGGACTCCTAAAGCAGACCTAACCTGTCTTTGGGCTAGATCCCAAGTTCCTCACACCAGTGGAATGAAATAAATTAAACTGCTTTTTTGTACAGCTGAACAACTTGCTGGAAGTCCAAAAAGACTTCAGTGACAACTGAGAAACTATGGATCTTGGCACAGAGGCCAAGTAGGACCAACAGGGGTGGTCAAAGGTTGTATCTAGGACCTCCATCACTCACTGGACCAATAAAGCTTAGCAGTGTGGCACAGACAATTTCTCAGCATGGCTCAAGAGACAGACAGTTAATTAAGGCCAGCCCAGGGACTCTTTAATTAAGGCAGAGGAGATCTGGGTAGCACCATTGAAAAGACCTGGCGCACGATACTGAGTATGACCCTTGCAGTCAGGCAGGCTCAGACAAAACATTTCCTCCTGGAAACAGGAGGCTGTGGTATCAGTGCACATAATTTGACTGCAAAGGGCAGTCAATTCTAGCAGCATGAGGAACCTGCAGGCTGGACCAAAGATGCCTGTTTTGTCAGAATTGACCTTAACAATCACCATACAAGCAGAGGATGGTAATGCCAAGGTCAGGCAGGGCCTGCCCTGGGCAGGCTTCGGGTCTGTTTCTGTGCAGATCATTATCTCATTGTCTAACAGACCTGTGGAACTCCTCCGTTCGGTCCTCTCCATCAGCAGAAATCATGAGGCAGTGGCGCAGGAGGGCACCCAAGTGCCGGTACAAAGCAGCATCTTCCTGGCCCCAAAACAGAAAATGAAAACCTCGATCAGGAAAAGGGATCTCTTGCTACTTTACACATAACTGGGGGCTGCCTGGAGGGTAGTACCTACTACGAGGAAATGCAAGCAGAGCAGAAAAACATTAGTCAGGCCATAGCCTGGGAACACGCAGATGTGGTGTGGTGCAGTATCCAGGAGCTTACCTCATCTACCTCCCTCTTGCTGGAATCAAAGGTGATGTTGAAGAGCACTTTGAGGATCTCCATGGCTCGCTCTGTCTCTTGCCGGGGCAAAGGCGGGAGGAGTCCCTCCTCGGTGGCAACTTCGTAGGGGTCCATCCACTTTACGCCAAGAGTCAGCTCCAGGGTGTCTGTCATCAGGCCGATGCCCCTGAGCTCTTGGGCCAGCTGCTGTCGGATGTCCACTCGCAGCGCCGTCAGCAGGAAGAGGAGGCGCAGGTCGAAGAACTTGACCTCGTGAGGAAGGCTTCTCTCGTTGTACAGTTTGATACGCTTGGCCAGGCCCACCACCAGCCGAGCCTCAGCCGTCAGCTCCTGGGCCCGAGGGCTGCTGAAGACGATGTTGCAGAGGCATTTGAGGGATTCCAGGATGACGTCCAAGTCTGGGACCTCCCGGATGAGTTCCTCGGAGTAATCGATGCCAGCGTGCCTAGAGAGGGTCTTCAACCCTTCCTTGGTGGTAAAAGGATCGAGGCAGTACTTGTCCCGGGACAGGATGCGGATGCTTTCCAAACAGGTGACCTGGCAGGATGGCTGGAGCTCTCTTTCCAGGAACTTGATAAGTAGCTGGGCCATTTTCTGTGCAGTTGGAAACAAAGAATGCCTCACACACTGACACCTCACAGCGCTCCCCCAAGGGCCCCACCCTGTTACACTCTGCCCTGGAAGATGAGAGCATCACCTAGACGTGGACCTGCTACCAGCTCTGATTCAGGTGCACATTTGGAGGCCCTTGGGAACAATTTGGCTCTAGAATCCAGTCCCTGCTCAATTCAAGCAAGGACAAGCAGCAAGAGACAAAGAATGGCTGGGAAATGGTATCAGATCAAAGGGGAGAGCACAACAGGTTACTGCTACTGACCTAAGGGACGATTGCTTATTTGAGGTTCACCTGTGGTTAGGATGGTTTAGGCTAATACGGTTTATTTGACAGCTCCATTAAGTTAAGAGACAGCAGGGCAAAAAAAAAAAGCCCCTTTTCATAGCTTCAGACCAACAGCAGATGTCCACTCGCACCAGAGCCTTAAGGTTAGGGAGGCATCTGCTTTGGGTGCTCCAGAAACAGGCTGATGAGCTTGAGAGATGCATCAGAAAACTGCTGCAGGAGGGGAAGAGGAACTAAATGAGTTCAGAAGTGTTTGTGATATGATAGGAAAAGAAATGAAGAGACCTCAGAAGATTCAAGTAAGAAGTACCTCCCTAAATCTCAAGGCTGTCTGGAGACCTACTAGCCCAGATCTTCAGCAGGTACAGACTGGCAGAGCTCCAGTAACACCAATTTACAGCAGCTGAAACGCTGACCCTGGTGGGTAACAGTATTGTGTGTGATGGCAAGCTGCGGAGGAGCACGAGAGCAAAGGTAATCCCTCACAAAACCAAGCTTGGTTTTAGCTGCATGTAGCAACACTTCACATTTCCCCAGCAATCCATTGCTCAAGCAATCATACCACAATGAGGGAACATCTCACTAGGTCTCTCTAACGATAATGGTATCAGAGTAAAGGTCTTTCTGACTCAGTCAGGCAAAAGGGATCTCAAAGCACGTGTCCACAGCTGAACCTTCAGAAGAACCAAACACGCAGAATTACACGGTGATGCCCAATTCATGTTTGATGACAAACACCCCCGAAGTAGAGCACCTTAGCTCTGGGCCTGAATTCACAGCCTGCGCAGCCTGCTCCAGCTCAAACAGCAAGGCAGTGCAGGGCAAAGAGCCCCAATCTTCTGACCATGAGTCAGGCTGCAGCTGGAAAAACTTCACGCTAGCATTAGGTGGCAATGGCAAGGACAAAAGAGGTCCCATTCTTCACCCTGATAGCCCTGTCTATGCTTGCTGTGCTAACATGGGCAGTAGTGCATGAACTGGACCACAAAACTGATCCAGGTGGAAAATGAGCCAGGAAAAATAGTTTTTTGTTTGTTTTGGTTTTTAGGCAGATCAGCCCACCAAGCATATTCACTGTGCAGCCATGCAAGGGTCTGCTCTGGCATGAGAAATGCAAGACTGAAGTGAACAGACAGGGGCGTTTATGTCCATTAAGCACCAGATTATGTCAGCTTAAAGTGCCTGTTAATACACAGCCCTGGTCAAATCCTGCAGCTGGCTCACAGTGAAAGCACTTACCCACTAGAGGCATGCGTGTTACTGTGATTTTTGTCCAGCACACTCGTACCATTGAGACCCACACAAAGGATCACATTTTTTGTACACCTGTGGCCGAGGCTATACACATCTCCAAACCCAAAGGGTTTGCTAATGTTGCAAGGATGCTGACCTTGATCCTAAAGCATCATCTACGGATGGAAAAACTAGAGCCAGATGCCCTGAGCACACCGTTCCCTGGGAAGGTACTTAAAAAAGTTTTCAAAAAGCTACTTATCTCTTTCCCCAAAGGAGCCGCCACCATCAAGCCCTGCTGGACACAAGCGCAGAGCAGCAGATTTACCCCTCCAACACGAGGAAGAAAGCAAAAGCACTCCTACCTTCCTCTCTTCCCGTTCCTCATCGTCAAAGGTGAAGCACTGAGATTTCTGTGGGGGCAGAACAGAAACAATTAAAATGAAGGAATAGTTTAAAAAGCAAAACTGTTTGCCTCAGCCAGGGAAAAGTAATTCAGCTTGAAAGCAACAGGTCTAAAAAAGAAAGCAAAGGCAAAGAAGTCTTCTCAGAAACAGTCGCCTACCAACACAGAGGCAGGGAATCAGCATGGCAAGGAGTGCAACAGCACTTGGAGAGGTCTGTGATACTCACAGCATTTTTAACGAGCAGTGGAAGTTCCTGAGGAGTCAGACAAAAGGACAACTTCCCTGTTGAAGTTTTTGCTTCCTGCCTCTGAGGTTTTTGCTTCCTGCCTGCCTTTTCCCTCCTACATCATTCTTTCTTAAGCAACTCCAACTACTCGCATCACAACAAGCAGGGAACGAAGCCGGTTTAGAAAGCACAGATATTGTGACCCACACTGCCAGGTCAGAATAGCTTTCCTTGACCAAGATCCCTGCTATTCCAGGAGCCCCTGCTTCCTTTTTGTTATTGAAAAAGATCTGTGATGAATAATTCCCATTGCACTCTTCTGTTTGCTCTGTGTTGGAAGCCGAATGCCACAGGCCAAAGCTGTGCCCATCTGATGGATGGCCTTATTTTTAAATGCTGCAGCTGTGAAGTGGGTATTCATCATAAATATCCCACAACAGTCTGTAACAAAGTCATAGAATGGTTTGGGTTGGAAGGGACCTTAAAGTCCATCTGGTTTCAACCCCCTGCCCTGGGCAGAGACACCTCCCACCAGCCCAGGCTGCTCAAAGCCCCATCCAACCTGGCACTGAACACTTCCAGGGTTGAGGCATCCACAGGTTCTCTGGGCAATTCCTCTCCCGAGTGAGGCCACCAAACTGTGCCTAAACACTTCTTCCCTTCTTATTTATTGTTCCTTTTCCTGCCTGAAAGCACCTTCTCCTCATTATTTGGAAACAGATCCTTGTGTTCTTCGTTCCTGCGATGTCTGGAAGTAATAATGTTTTTCAGCTCGTGTTCTTTAAACACAACTGATATACATAGGTAAACACCCCACTCCACGTGGCACCTCACAGCCTGAGTTACTCCTGTGTGCCTTTGCTTCAGAGAGCACTTGAACTGCAGAATGGTTAACATGCACAAATAATTCACGACCTCTTCAGTAAGACACGTTGACAGCAAGCACTGCGAAGAAGGAATTGCTGGAACCAGGTAGGAAGAGCAGCCACCCTCTCTGCCTTCTTTGCTTCCTAACTTCTGGCAGAGTTCTCCAAAGGTGAATCACCCAGCACGAGGGAGTTTCTCCTTTTATCCCACACATTGCCTCAAGTCACAGACAAGGACTGTCAGTCAAGTCTGATTTCCTGCACAGAACAGTTCCGGACCCTGTTTTGGAAGAAATCTGAATTTCTCCACACCCCCATTACATCCTTTTTCTTAATAGAACAGTTCTGCTCTGCTCACATGAAATGTTCCTGTGTGTGTCTCGTGGCTGTGCCTAGGAGAACAGTCTCCTTTCTGGCTACATCAGTTTCCAATGAACTAATCAGCACAAAACATCAAAGGGTCCCTGGTAAAAAGCAGCACTTTCCAGTCGATGATGCAGTTCTGATTTATACCAAGAGAACATGTGGAATGCTTTTGAGAATCAGACGATTTAAAATTTATGAAAACATTAATTATGTATGCATAGATACAGCCTGATCAGATACAGATAGAGACATGGGGTATAATTATATCATATTTCTCTATTATTTTCTTAGTGCTCCCCATCACCTTTTACTGAGTTACACTGCAGACACACACTTACAGAACTGCTCAATGATGACAATTAGTCTCACCACAAACAATTACTGTTATACACTGGGCTAGTCCTTCTCTTGAGCTTCTGCAGTTCACCAATATCCCATCTGCATGTATGAACAGCAGAGCTTGTTTCCTGCGGTACATACCACCTTATGGCTCTGCTTCCCCCAAGATGATGTTGATGCATCACTTGAGAAACTTCAGGTGCAGAAGCAGGACAGCTCTGCTCCTGTAGTGCTGGGCCAGGGGCCGGCCTCTTGTGCTTCAGCACCGTGATGTGATCTGTGCACAGGCTGTCGCACCACGTTGCAAGGAACTGGCAGTTCAGTCCTGGAACTCATGTGGTCTGCAGACATCCATGGCACTTGTTCTCTTCCCATCTCATCCTCTTTGCAGGCTCCCGTAATCTCATTTACATACATGTTCACAGTATCTGTGGTTTTGCTTTAGATCTATTTCATTCATAGAATCACAGAACGGTTTGGGTTGGAAGGGACCTTAAAGATCATCTAATCCCAACCCCCTACCATGGGCAAGGACACCTTCCACGAGACCATGTTGCTAGTTATTCCCGGCAACCAGGAATTGACTGCATATTCAGTAGTGAATTAAAAAACATATACCCCCAGAAAAGGGTACAGAACCACCAGCTTTTGCAATAAAAAGTTACATAAGGAAGTTCCTTATTTTATCTGCATTTTCATATCCTCTTCGTTTGCTCCATTTATTCTAGGCAGACTAGCAAAATCATTGACATCCTCACAAGTTTCCTACGCCTGATACACTGACAAAGGATCCAGCTGGAGGAATTCTACAGAAAATACTGTGTTTTGATGCCTCAGATTGGTTGCACATCAAGTGCCATTTGCTCTCCTAATTTCTCCAGCATTACAGCTGCTGCAGTTGATGTTGATCCCGCTGACCTCTTTTCAACAGGGAGTCACTACTTCTTAGCTAAGATTTCTCCTATTTCAAAACTGACTGTTGGAAATAGTAGCACATTTCCCCTTATTGCACACTCGTGCAAAAAAATTCACAGGTTTTCCCCACTGACTTCCCACCTACTTAAGAATGGTGCAGAATGAGTCACGTAGATCTGCAGGGGCAGCCCTACCCTGGCGAAAACCCTCTGCAAGAGACTTCCCTGACAACCAGAGTCTATTTCAAAAGTAAATTACCCCCAAAGATAACCTTTTACCACTGTAAGGCTAGAATCACTTCCATTTCTGCTTCCCAACCATTCTTATTCATATTCTGTATTCATTATTTTGTATTGTCAGCTTTCAGACCAGGCGCCTGAATCAAATTGCAGCCTTCATTCATGTCTTTCCCTAATTATCTTTTACTTGCAAATCAGAATTTCACCTGCAGCTCCTCCCTAGATGTGAGTTTTATTACCACCAAACCTTGCCTAACATAAAGAGCTCCTCCTACTTAGTCTTCACACCCACGATTATTTCCCTGCCAGGTTTTACTAAGAATCTGGATAATAAAGAAAATCCTTTCTATGTGCTTTTCTTCCAGTATCTCAAGGACACAAGATAAAGCAAGGCTACGTAGATGCTTCATAGCAAAACATCAAAGAAGCAGCAGTCTGCAAGTAAAAGACGAGGCAGCCTGTAACATTTCCATGGCAGTAATGCGCAGACAGATGCGCTCAGAGGAGGCAGACTGGGGACAGCTGGGTAGCACAGAAATCCCACAACATGGCCAGCCTGCTTCCAGCCTTGTAAACAGAAGCTGACATTAGGCAGAGGTTTGATGCCCACTCACCTCCTGGTTGTAGATCTGAAGCACCTTGAGGACTGTGTCTTGCTCCCCGTTTTCCACCGTGGCTACTACAGTCCTGAGCTCCATTATCTCAGCAGCTCAGCTACAACAGAGGTGAAACAGAGAAGAAGGGGAGTGAGGGGGCTTCCAGGGTTCCTGGATAATAGTGATGCAAAGGGACCTCAACACAGAGAGATCTGAGAGGGAGTGAGAAAGGGGTGGGGAAAAGGAGGAGGAAAAAAAAAAAATCCCAAGTGAAATTGCTCACTCTGTTGCATCCATAAAAGCAGAGCAGATGGATAACCCAAGTACAACCAGCAGCCAGGCTCCTCTCTCTCCCTTTAATCCTCTTCCTCTCTTTGCTTTTCAATGTTTAATATATGCCCTTCCAGTAAAGCACTCAGAAAAACCTTCCCCCCTCCCAGCCAGGGGATTAACACAGAACAGATAACAGCAGCTCCCTGAAATAGCTCCCTGCCTCCTCCTCCTCCCCTGGCTGTCCTGATTTCTGTTACCGCACAGAACAACAACAAAAAAAATAAACCCAGAAACATTGCTGTGGAGTAAAAAGAGATGGAGAGGAAAGACAGAGGGATAGGCAAGCACCTCCGGGCTTGCTTTAAGGTGGAGCTACCTTTTAAGGTGGTGAAAAGAAAGAAAGAAATTGGGATTTTGTTGCATTTGCTGCTCCGTGTGCTGGGACACTCGATGCCTGACAGACCACGTACCAGATTATGGCAGAGACACTGCTCAGGGGGGTAAAAACGCACATATGGCGGGTGGCTGGCCTCCCTGGCTCAAATCTGCCTGTCATTACTGAGCACAACGCACTTCGCGTTAATAATGTAAATGAGCAGATGCGCATAATGACAGGGATAATCATTATTTTAAAAATAGGCGAAAGTTTAACAGCTTGTGCAGCCAGGCAAGCCCGCACTGCTGGAAAGTAACTCCTCATCATGGACTATCGAACAAAATTTCAGTACAAACACGAGCTCGTACATCTGCTTAGATTCTGTGGAGCTCTGTGCCACGTCCCACAGCCTGGCTGAGCAGCAGATAAATGTGATCAGGAGACAGGGCTCCGCTCCTGGAAATCATGCTGCGCCGAGGGAGCAGCATCAGGTTAGCCCAAAGCATCGCGTTATCCCCCCCTCCCTGCCCCAACACAGCCAAGATAGGGACTCTGAGGGCTGAGGGCAAGCCCTGCAGCCAAAAACACAACAAAATGCCGAGCCCTGGGCCACAGGAGCAGAAGAAGGAGCTCATCCACACCAGGCATCCCTCGCACTGCCACACTGGGGTACCCGGAGCGACCTCCCTCCCTTTTCAGGGGGCAGGAGCAGCTCACAGCATGCCGTAACCCCCTCATTTCTGTATATATCTTTTATTTCTGTCCCTCAGCTCCCTCCTCATACCTCCTTTCCACACCGGAGCCGAGCAGAAGGGGACGTCTCGGCCCTCCGGGGACGGGCAGCGGCGAGGAGGGCAGCCCCGGCACCTTCCTCCCCGCCGCCCCGGCTTCCTGCCGCGTTTCCTGGCCCCGGCCCTCCCCCGAGCTCCTCCGTGCACCGGAGGAGGAGGGGAAGGAGCCGTGGAGGCTTCACCGAGCGGCGTTGGGTTTTTTTTGGGGGGGAACGCGGCGCCACCGCCTCTTAGGGCTGGTCTGGAGGTGTCACAAGCACGGTGCAGCGAGGAGAGAAGGAAGCCGCTAAACCTCGCGGCTACCAGCCGCGGGCGAGCTCCTCCCGGGAAAAGCTCCTAACCCGGGGGGAAAACGCAAGCTAAACTGCTTCTGGCCACGAGGGGACGGGAAGGGACCCCAAAAGGGCCGCGCATCCCCCAGGGGTACCAAGGAGCCCCACGGCAGGGGGCGGTGATGGCGCTCAGCGGCCATTTTCTGGAGGCGGGGACCGGCGGAGCTCCGCCTGCGAGGCGCCGGGGCCGGCAGGCGCCATGGCGGAGTGGGGCCGAGGTGAGGGGAAGGGGGGATGGCGGCAGCGGGCACGGGCTGAGGGGGAGCTGCCCGCCGCTGTGTGGGGGTGAGGGGGAAGGAGACGCTTCCAGGCGCCATTTGGGAGCATCTCCCGCTGCTTCAGGGCTGGGGCAAGGGGTGCGACTCGGGGCGTTGTCGGCGATACTGTCGGCGATATCAGCCATCCCTTTATCGCTCCCCTGCGTGACATGGCAGCGGGGAGGGCTGAGCTTCTCCCTCTCCTGGGGGGGAATGGCCGTCTCCCGTAACGCCTTGGCAGGAGGCATGTCAGGAATGGCCGGGCAGGGTTTACACCGTGAGGGTCCCGGTGCTGAATTCGCTGCCACCCAAATCCCATATGTGGGACAGCGCTGGAGGTGTCTGGAGAGTCACACAAAATCCGCATTTATTAGAGCTGTTGGCCATGGTTGAAGTTTTTGGTGCGTTTAAGGATTTGTTTCTCTTATCCATGGTCTGTCCTGGGGATGTTTCAATGCGTTTTTGTCAAAAAAGGTTAGGAATGTTTAATAGTGCAGTGGCCATGGGACGTGGATGTGGGCAGCTTCTGACAGCCCCTTCGGAGTGTCAGGGCGACCAGCCAACAGCTGGGCACCGAGGCTCACCACGTTGATTGAGCAAACACGCAGTTCCTGGTGTCAGACTGATAAAACTCGTTCTTTTCCTTTTCCCCAGGTCAGAATGGAAGCGGTGTGGAGGATATGCTGGATGTGGAGAACAAGCGTATGGCAGACAGTCTGGCTAGCAAGGTCACCAGGCTGAAGTCGGTGAGTTGTAGAGTTCACATCAGATGGCACAGTGAATGAAGTTACCTCCATCATTTCTCTTTCTTTCAGAGTCTGCAGGGAGGTGCAAATGTGTGGTTAACGCAAAGGGCTTCCTATGTATTCATGACTTTTAGAGAGTGTGGTGGTGATGTCACAGTTAACTTACTAGTAAAATGCAAGGGATGACTTTGTGAATCTTTACTTTTGAGATTTAGCTACATCATCTCCGTGATTCCATGATCTATTGGGAATTATGTGAGTTTAGTTACATTTAGGGAAGTTATAGGCACGGAGAGAAACCTTAAAGGTCCACAGAGGAGTATTGCTAAGCACGTCTCAGGAAAAAAGTAATAATAAAAAGATGGGTAAATTACTTCTAAAAATTCAAGCACCTCTGTGTTTGGTGTTACTGATGCTAATTTGCTCTTACTAACATCGAATGTTTTGATTTAGAGCTTAGTAGAAATCAGTGACTCATTATTGAAGAAGAGAACACTGAATTTCTGCTGTCATGTCCTAGTGTTTAAATACCCCTGTCCTACGTTGTTGTTGGGTAGTCAAACTTTATTTCCAGCATTGCAGAGCTGAAGAGTTCCAACAACCTGAAACTGAAATGAGGATCTTGTGTTGTCACTGTACTGAACAATCTTTCTTCTTTTTGTGTAAGAGACAAGGATGCAGTGGCTTGCTCTTCTAATGCACACAGTGGTTTTACAAGCACTGGATGCACTAAAAGCTATCTTCTTGTTAAAAGTTTGTTAATAACCATTTTCTCCCTTATCCTTTGCAGCTGGCTCTGGATATTGACAAAGATGCTGAAGAACAGAATCGTTACCTGGATGGCATGGTATGGAACCAATGAAATGTAAAAAATCATGTTTTTTTGTGTGCTAGCTTTCAGTAGTTACCTTAACTTGGGCTTACTGATAATTAAACATTAGATACTTAGCAGCTGCTAGTATCACATTGTCCGAATGGGCAACAGGGCATCTAGCATCTGGAAAGACTGATGTAGGACAACACAATTCAGAAATACAGCTGGAGGTTACCTCATTGCTGGAATTAAAGAGCTGCTCCCTGTGGCTAATTCTGTGAGGTGGATCTATTTCTAAGCTGTTCCTGTGATTTTGGGTAATGCATAAATCTGCCAGGGTTACTTACTGTAATCTCTGTAACACAATACCTGTCAGGACTGTTTGCTGATGTCTTTGAAAGGGGCAAGGCCGATGTTTTGGTCCTGCTCATGTTGTTCTGTGCCTTGTTCTGTCATTTTTCTGACACATAACATCTTGTAAAACCAAAATCACTTTCCAGAGTAATCTGTCTCTAAAGCTTTGGTGGCTAATGGAAAATCGCAACTGTACTGGGGAAAGGCCAGAATGGCAGATCCTTATAGCAAAGGGATTACCTGCTGAGGCTTTTTAGGAGAAAGGTATTTCATAAACTGAATTGTGAGAGGACGGGAATCCAACCCAGAGACTGGAGAAAGAGATTAGTGCAATAACACTGCTGTGTGGAGGGCCTTTTCTGCACATGCTGGATGTTGGAGAGCTGGTACGTGGAAGCCAGAGGAAAGTTAATTGTAGTGTTGAAATCAGTCGAGTCAAAGGTGTGAGCTCAGCTTGGAAGCTTAATAACAGAGTATGCTGACAGTGTCGGAGTATCTGAAATAGATATTTGCTCAGCCCAGAAATTAGAAGAATGGAGAACTGGAAAATGGAGAATTGGAGAGAAATGGAGAATTGATGTAAAGGCAAAGGATCTTAAAGTAGAAGCCCTTACTCAGCATGATTTTGCGTCCAGAACAGAGGTGGTTTTGAAATATTTGAAGAGAAACATAAGCAGAAATTCTTAAGTAGTTTATGAATAAGGAAAACAGACCAGGAGTCAAAATGAAAATGCCTGAACTGAATTAATAAGGGAATTTTTAACCACTGCCTGGTGGAGTTGCACATGCATGCTGTCCTATGCTGAAGAAGAAGAAGTAATGGAAAGGAACTGCACTTTCTCAATGCTTTTTATCCTGCCCTGGTATGCATGAATTGTGCTAGCTTCATATAGAGACATTTCCCTTCGATGAAGTGTTGACTTGTAGAGTTGCCATTAGCAAGCTACTCCCGGCAGAAAAAAGCTGCATGGGAACAATTGAACAGCCCAGTAGCAGGTGGTTTGGCCCTGACTGAAAAAAGGAGGCACACACATTGTTTTACATTTGGAACAGAACTTCCCCTGTCCTTTTTTCTGTGCTTTGAGTGCAGTGGGAATGGTGCTGCTTCTGGAGCCTGAGCACAGGAGGGGAAGGGCCTTCCGAGAGGGATGTGATGGGTGTGGAGAAATGGGCAGTTACTGTGCAGCTCCCTCTGCAGATATTTTTTAGCCAGGAAGTGGAATTCTTCAGGGACAGCTTCACCAGTTTAAAATGTCTCCGTTTGTTTTTTCTTTCTCCTTCAGGATTCAGATTTTATGAGTGTGACTGGCCTGCTGACTGGCAGCGTGAAGCGTTTCTCCACCATGACACGGTCTGGGAGGGACAATCGCAAGTTACTCTGTTCCGTTTCTGCAGGACTGATTGTTGTTTTCTTCATCCTCTACTATCTTGTGTCCAGAGCGGGAACTTGATCTTGGTTGTGATGTGGCAGTTTTGCAGAACAAAACCTACGTGATGATTGACAGACTCGTTCGTCACCTTTCTAAGTCTGCCCTCTTGTGGGATCCTTGAGACTTTCCAGACAGACATTCTAAACAACTTTTCACCAGCTTCTTGTCATTGTTCCAGCTGGTCATCGACGTATCTTTATAAAATGAGTATGTTTCATTCTAAATGGGTTATGATGTATAACACAATTTTGATGTTGTTAATGCTTAAGACTTTATCTCTTGCCTAGTTGTTCATGTCTGGCAGCCTGTTTTTAAGGACCACTTTTGTCCTACCTCCTTTACTGATATTCGATACTAGGCTTATGAAGAGTTGTGTCTGATAAATCCAGAGACTTGCCAGTACTCAAAAGTTCAATAAATCAGCAGAGCTTGGAAGCTGCAAAATTTAGGATGCTGATTTATAAACTTCAGAAGGATGAACGTGACTTATTCCAATTGGCCTCTAAGCTGATACCTGGTCTCAGTTTCCCCTTGACTCAGAGATCTGATAATATCCTTGGTGTCACTGGGATGAAATGAAGTCTGTACTGCTTTGAAATGAAATCAGCATTAACTCTGAACCCTGATATTCTCTAATTGTTGCAGTGAGAAGTTGATGAGGTAAAACTTTGATGGACCCTGCAGGAAAGAAGGACCAAAGTCCCCAGGCTGCCTTGATTTGCACACATACAGTATCTTTCCACTACCTTCCCATACAACGTGCAAATGCATTCCTTTAGACCATGAAAGCAGCGTAAAAAAACCTCTGATAGTAAAAGGTCTTAGGAAGATTGAAGAGGAAGCTGATTATGGCCTCATTACAATTAATTTCAGGTATTCCAGTACCCTGGTATTAGCGTGCTTTGGAAAGACATTGCAATTAAAAGCAGAGGTTGAGGTCAGGTGAAACTTCTAAACCATGCTGTTGGGATGGTGGTAGGTTGAGGAAAGATTTGATTGGAAAGTTAACGGATTTATTTATTAACATGGAAGGTAACCTCAGAAACTCTTAACTCGCTTTGCCATTCACAGGGCTTTGCAGTTCCGTGGCTGCAATGCTTGTGTCAGACACGGCAAAGCACACCCCCACCGGTTTTGTTTACAAAACAGTCGTTCCCAACCCACATGCAGTGCATGCTGGATTTCCTGTCCTGGGGAGCACTCTGGGAGTGCAGTAGCTGGGAACTGCAAGTTCCCCTCACCCTTCTGTCCCGTCATTGGGCTGACCAGCATCTCACCCAGGCATCATGACCCCACGTGTATTCTTCCATTGCTGAATTATTTAAGTCTGCCAATAACTGGAGTTAAGAAATCTGTAACTAAAATACTGTGCCTGTTGGGGGAGAGGAAAATAAAAAAGCTTTCTCTCCGGGCAAACCTGCACTGTATAAGCTTCCTGATGTATAAACCTTTCACTTTACAAAGCAGCTGTACAAAGCTGCTGTTTCATCTTGTCTGTTTTCTGTACCAAGTGCCTATGTGTTTTGGGATTTGCTGTTCCAAGTCTTTGCTTATTTGATTTTCTTGTCCTCCTGTGACCTCTGCAGTACTAAAGCATTCCCCCTCTGGTTTCAGTCTTCCTCCTCCCCAGCAAGCCCATATTGGCTAGATATTTCCTTTGGCCTCATCCTGGAATCACTTAGCAATTTCTTTGCCCTTCGACTTATCCGGGTCCAGATCTGGAAATAGATGGTGGTCTCCTTTGTTTAGCTGTGCCAAAATGCCAACCAAGTACTACTGGGACTAGTTTAGGTGTTGTTTTTTTTTCCAAGTTTGAGGAGAATGTGCAGGGAAGAAGAGTAGGAATGGAGGCATCAAGGACTTTGGTTCTTATCGCTGCTTCTCTATTAAATGTGGCAGCTCCCAGCAATGTCTCTGTGTGGAGGAACGATGGGTGAATTGACAGACCGCTTTGATTTCAGAAGCGGATGACTTCTGATGAAAGGCCACTGGAACAGCCTGGTCTTCATGATGGTGGCCATTTCAGTTTGCTTTAGCTATTGTAAATAAAGACTTGGTTTTACATTTTTTTTGCCCAGGTGTTGTGTTTGTTTTTTTTTTTTTTATTTCTCCTCCAGCTCTTGGCCTTGCCCTAGGCTCCTATCTGAGGGTGCTGAAGCCCGTTTCTCCTGCCTGCTTCCCGTGCCCCGCTTGTGCCTGTTGACATGAGGCACTAGCCTCGTGGGGGCTGGAACAGCGGCTGCCATGTTGTCAGCACTGCCAGGCAGTGATTTCCATCACGAGGATTTATCTCTCTATGGAATCTCTTATCAGGAAGCAGTAGCACACTCTTATCAGGAAGCACCACATAACCATGCTTAACCCTCTGAAACAGAACTGCAACATTTGGAAGTTCTTGGAGAACCTGAGAAGGTATAACCTGTTCGCGTGCTGGAAAATAGCCTCCCCCAGCAGGAAATATTCTGAGAAAGTGCTGTACCTGAGACAATTCACAAGTATGAATTCAAGGCGGGTGTGCAGGGTAATAACAGCAACACAGTAGTTGAAATGATGATAGGGTGTGTGTTCAACTCTGTAACACTGCTGCCACTGGGACGTGAAGATATTCCCTTGAAGGTATGCCGCTGCCCAGGCCTTCACCGTTATCTTCCACGTTATTATACCATTTGGTTATTTGAGTGACTCATTTATATTGGTTTCAGCGCTCTCCCATAGTCCTAACACTGCAAAGTTTTTGCTGACACACAAAAATTAGTGAAAACAGCGTGCACACCCACCCACACACCCAGTGCTGAGTCAGCACAATAGTTGCAGGTACATTGATTGACGTTCTAACAAAGGAAGACTTCGAGTTAAGCTGTGAGCTGCTATTTGAAATGTGGCTTTCCAGCGCCATTTAAAGGTGAATAAATGTGAATGTGCTTTACCACAAGCTCAGTATCACGATCTTACTGCTACAGGGAGGCAGAGAGACAAAAAGCTCTCATTTTGGTTGCTTTGGCCTCTCCATTAGGGACCATGCTGTCTGCAACACTCCCTCAGCCTCCTGATCTCTTCCAGCAGCACTATCTTGTTGTTGACGGAAGGAAGACACAGACGCTCAATATGAGTGATCAGTGAACTTTGATTTATTGGATAGCTCAGCCGTCTTTTATATGATTCAATATAATTAGCTCATACATATTGCAAAAGCTAAGCTCACTATTGGTTAGTGCAACTTTCCCTATCTTATCAGCTAGCTCCTCATTCCCTCAACCGTTATCCCGTCTTAGGTACTTTCCCATCCACACACTGACACAATGCCTTTGTCCCTTGATTGGCTTCCCGCCATCGGCCAGACTCATATGAGCTGCGTTCGATACTTTTTTAGCTCGCGACCTCCAAGTTGTTCAACATTCACATGACCTACTTCACTTAACCATTCCTCCACACTATCTGTCCATTCATCGCTGTGTTTAGGGAGCTTACGGTGACCAAGTCTTTCAATTCAGTTTCCCTGGAGATGGATGAAGTGGCTTTCATGAAATCACCCCAGGAGAGTTGGGGCAGCAATAACAGTACATTTTCTGCTGATACTACCTGTAGCTTGCAAGTACTTCGAGCTATCACATAAGCATACCCACGGTTACGTGTCCCCTGGGTTTAAGTGCCCCTAGGTTAATTACCTCAAGCACTGCCCTGCAGTTTATTTAGTACAAGGGGCGTGTGAGACGCTTGGTGCTCCCAGGATGCCCTTGTGAGGGGCTGGGAGGGCAGGAGGTGCTTAAGCAAGGTGTGGGGTGCTCCCAGGGCACTTGTGAAAGGGGCTGGATGCACACAGGGTGCTCGGACAAGGAGGGGGGTCTGCCCCTGTCCCCACCACCCCAAAGCGGGGACATGCGGTACAGGGGGTACGACAAGGATGCCCTCGGCCTGGCTGCTGGGCTTGGGGGCATCATGGACAACAAGGGGGGCAGCGGAGATGAGGAGGAAATTAGGAACACCAGGAGGAAATGGTAATTTCAGGAGATCGGGAAGAAACAACTTCCCACCCTCAGTCCATGTCACATGTACCACAATCTTCTACATCGTCTCAGACCCTCTCCAAGTACATGGACACTACACACATTTTCACTGCCACCACCCTCAGGGCCCTCCCTACCCACTTGCACCCCACAGCCAAGCATCCATCCAAATTTTAAATTTCTTTCACCCATTTTTTTTTTTATTCTTGTTCTCCTGAAACTCGAGAACCTGCTGCCTCAGAGCCCAATTTCCCTGTTTTCCAGAGAAACGGTGTGTCTTCAGTGAACTGAGACACAGGGATGTGAGCAGTGCTGCCCTAGCTCCAAAGCTGTAATCATTCATTGCTCTGCAAGATCTTCCTGTGCTGTTTCAGAGGAGGCCTTGTCTCTCCAGTATTCTCTCAGAACAAAAGTTTACATCACACAGGATCGTAAAATCATCCAGGGTAGGAAAAGACCATTTACTCCCACCTTTAAACTAGTCCTAAGAGGATTAGTTTAAGTCCCTGGTTGGAGACTTGTCCCCAGGGACAGAGCCCAGCTCCACACCGCAGCCTGGGGGGCACAGGGCTGGCATCTCCCTGGGCTGAGGCCAGAGACACTTTACCAGATGGGGTCCAGCCCAAGCCGAGGAGGTAACAGCCCAGATGGGGTCACCATGGTTCTGAAGCCTCTATGCTGTCATAATGCGTTTCCATGGCGATGCCGTCCCCTATAAAAGCTGGCAGCTGACACCCTCCCCCAGAGTCAGAGTCTGTCCTGAGCTCTGCCTGTCCGCAGCAGCTCTCTGTGCCCTGTGACTGTGAGCAGCCACAGCAGCAGCGCTCATCCTCACCGAATTTTCCTTCCAAGGCTAAGAAAGGTGAAGTGGAGCTCCTCCCGCAGGGAGAGGCGGGTTTCAGACCTGGGTTTTGGGACTGGAGATTCAGCTGTCGGTCTGCTGGTGAAAGAAGCAGCGATAGCTTTGTTTCCTCTGAAGGCTCAGTACCGAGGCACAGAGGGACGGGGGAGAAGTCCTGTGCACCAAGCGGAGCACTGGCACCTGAAAGAGAGGGGCAGAGCTGAACTCCAGGCTCTTTCGGGGCAGCCCATCAGTAACTCCTCTGCTCTTCTACCTTTAGGCTTTGGAGACACCTACCAGCATGGACGGAGCCTTTGTGGGGACGTGGAGACCTCACCGCCCCCGCGGCCCGATCATGGCCCAGTTCACCACCCCTGGGCCCAAGTACTCCATCCCAGGGGCAACAGGTACCGCAAACAAACCCAGGGCAGGCGGCACATCTAGGACATCGCTGCTCACAACAGCCCAAAAGTCTTTTTTTGGCGAAGCCTCTGTGCCCCCCAGGCCTGGCAGAGGAAGGCTGATACTTCCCCTCACCCAGGAGAGCGCTGCTTTCATACCAGCAAAAGCAACGGCCTGGGCAGCATTTCCTGGCGCTGTTCCCACTGGCACTCCAGGGAAGTCAAAGCCTCACAGAAGCCACCTTCCTGTTGGCTTGCCCTCGGCTCTCCAAGTGTCTGTGGGGTTACACTCTTGGATAGCAGCTGAATCCCAGGGATGCTCGTTATGGAGTGCCAACACTGGTGCTCCAAGCAGTGTTTTTGAACCGCTGGGTGCAGGAAGCGTGCTGGCCACACATCGGCTGTCTCTATCTGCTGCCTTTGCAGTGCAGCTACAAAGCCATTTGTGCTTCTTGGCTGACTCTTCTGCACCCCAAGCACTGCGTAACTGGCTTGTGGTTGTAGTAGTCTTGGAGGAAAAAGGCCCACGGGAGGGGAATTTGGGAGGATGGTGACTCCAACTGCGCCTCTTCCAGCGGAGCTTGAAGCGTGCAGCCTCCTGGAGGTGCCCTTTGTGTGCTTTGCTTCCTAGGTTTCGTGGGCCACAGTCCCATCAAAAACCGAGCCCCTGCTTACACTTGCAGAGGGACCAAGCCACCCGTGACCGGCGGCTGCGGTCCTGGTCCCCGCTACTTCGTGGAGCCTGACATCACCAGGACGGGGAAGTACGTGCCTCCAGGCGCCCACATCCGGGGACTTCCCAAAATAAACACTGAGGTCACACCCGGACCAAGTGAGTAGCAGTTCTCCAGCTCTTCATCCCGACAAGACCACAGCACCCCACTTCTGCCCTGGCCTAGCAGGGGAACAAGCCATAAATGTGGGCAGCCATAAACGCCCTCTGAGAAGGAGATCTGCCAAAGACCACGGGCTGTGGGCAAGGACCATGGGCTGTGGGCAAGGACCACGGGCTGTGGGCAAGGATCCAGAGTCCAGAAAGAAGGTGGCACAGGCGGAGGGCTGACAAGAGGGACAGCAGGGCAGGACAAAGCTGCGGGGTGCAGAGAAATCCCCCTCGGTGCTGCCTGTGTCCTCCAGCACAGGGCAGGAGGAGCTGCCAGAGAACTGGCAATTTTGCAGCTCTTCTGAAGAGCCCCTCCTTGGGATATCGCCTCTGTGTCTGGAGAAAAAGACCAACACTTGACTGCTTTTCTTCTCTTGGCCCCAGGCGATTACCACACGGAAACATCCAACAAGCACGTCTTTAAATGTCCACCCGTGCAGTCCATGGCCTTCAGGCACGAGGCCTTCCGAGCAGACCGACCTCCAGGTAAGGCGACCCCGGGCAGGGCAGACACTTGCGCGAGCTCCAGGGACAGCCTGCTGCTGCTCCGCCTTGGCAAGGGACCGCTTCCAAAGCCTCCCCCTGACCTGTGGGGAGAGAAGCAGCAGCTTCTCACTCAGGACCCCATCGCTCACCCTCTCTTTTCGCTCCTCCTGCAGGCCCTGGCGCCTACACTTTACCCAGGCTGATGGGACCTAACACAGCCTATACAACCGCCAGCCCGTGCTACTCTATGAAGTGGAAGAGTAAGCACGATCGCTTCGATGCAGACCTCTCCAAGGTGAGCAGTGCTTCCCTTCTTTTCCACACTGCCTAGTGACCCCGAGCTGCTCTCCTCGTGCCACGAGGGCTCCAAAGCCTGCTGCATCCTTGCTTAGGGCAGGCTTCTGTGCACCAAGAGCAAAGCCAGAGAATCCACAGCTGTGCTCGCAGGGCCACAGAGCACTCCTGCTGTTCCAGCGGAAGACAACACAGGGATGCTCTGCCTACACCTGCAAGTGCCTCACTTTCCAGCTCTGGCAGTTTTGATGATGCAGAGCTCATCAGAACTGATGGCTACCTGCCTGACGCTCTGGAACATGCCCCTCTTTGGAGGGGAGCAGGCTGTGCCACCGCCGACATTGTCCCAGGCTTTCCACACCCCTTCTCTGTTAAGGGTGCAGCCCTCGTGGGGAATCGGGAAGGAGAAACCTGTGAATTTGTACCCAACGAGGTCCCCGGCTCTCTTGCAGACTCCCGGTCCCGCCGCATTCCCAAAGATTGAGGTGGATACCTACAAAAGAAGGGCACCCATCTACACCATGGGAGCCCAAACCAGAATTGGAGGGGACAGAACCATCAAGCCTGGGCCCGCGGACTACCGCACTGGAAAGGTAAGGCAGCCTGCTCGCCTCTCCTGCTCCGTTTTCCAACGAGCAGCCTTCAAGCATCTCCCCCTCCTGCTCAGGCTTCAGAGAACAAACGGGCTTCTCACTGCAGGCACCAGCTGCAGGACAGCAGGCCTGCTCCCTGCCCCAGACCCTAGCAGAGGAAGGGCAGAGGACACGGCTTTTCCCTTCCATTCCCTCCGCCCTTACACACGACTTGCTCATCCATCACCATCTGTGAGAGTGGAGCTTGGGGACACCCTGCAGATACACGGGGAGGGGAATCCAGCAAAGGCTAGGCTTGGAGAAAGTTCTGGATCCAGGGCAGGTCCAGCTGAGCTTGCCATGCCAGATGGAATAACCGTCCTTTCAGCCCAGTTTCCTTTTGCACACAAGAGCTTCTCTTGAAGTGGAATGAGACAAAAAGCAGACAAAAATCAGGGAGGTCGTTATTTACCTCTCCCATATCTGTGGTGATGACTGCTTGCCCCAAACGGCAAGCAGGAAGAGCATCAAAGCATTTCCAGTGCTCGGCTAACATGGGAGGTTTTGAAAGAGCATGCCAGCAGGACAGGGAGAGTTAGCTATAGCTTCCCAGGCGTGCATACAGCTGTGGATGAGACATGCCAAGTGCCCGTAGCCACCCCTGTTAGAGCAGGCTGCCTTCACTGCAACAAGTCTGCTCCAGCAGGAAGCTGAAGCAGCGCTGCACTCACATCCTGACACGGAGCAGTAAGAGAGAGGCATACAGGGACTGGCTAGGAACAGGGGGATGTGTGGGACAGCAAGAAGGACCCTTAATGAACCCCTCTTTTTTTAAACTTTTCCCCTTCCAGGTGACACTGATCAAGCCCCAGGCACCTGAAACCACTTTTGGAATCCGTCACTCCATCTATACAACTCCACTCATAGTGGAATAAAAAAAGTTCCCCAAAAGACCTGGCTTGTTCTCCTTGAGCTATGAGGAGAGGAATGAGAAGGAAGGGAAGCGGGGTGTGAGTGAGGAAGTTTCCTTTTCCCTCTGTAAGGTTAAAGCCTCAGCAAGAAGAGTTCAAGAGGAGAGCCCCACAATCCAAAGGGCACGCAAGACAGCCAGATCTACCGGCACCTTTTCACCTGCCTGCCTTCAACCCACTAGGCCTTGCATCCTGATTGCTCCCTTCACCCTGTGCCAGGGCCGTGCCTCTCCTGCAGGCTGCAGTGCTCCTGGCTGAGGAGAGATGCCAGCCCCACAAAGAGCCATCAGAGCTCAACGCCGCGCCATGACAGCACTCAGGGCCTTCCCTACCCACTCGCACCCCACAGCCGAGCATCCTGGAGCTGCACCATGCAGCTGCTGCAGGGAACTTTACGCCAAGCGTTTACCACCTGCCTCGTAGCTTCCGGCAGCATGCGAGACTGCAGCAGGCACCAGAAGCACCAGCACTTCACGTGGTGATGCTGCACATTGACTTCCCACCCTAAGTTCCCTTTCTGGTGCAGTTCCCTTCCCCTCTTGGCGGCAGAAGCCAGATCTTAGGTTACAGGCATTTCCTTTTCTTCCCCATGGAGTACCGTGGGGGCTTTTCCCTACACCATATTGGCATCTGCCAGCATGGGAAGTCTGAATCAGCAGAAGCAGCTTGCTTTTCTCAACATCTTTCCCACCCTTTTGGCCTCTGAAGATAGCATCTAGGTCTGCTGCATAGCAAGACAGTCATAAGGGAAAAGCCACTGCCTGTGAGAACAGGCACAAGAAAGAAATAAGAGAAAGTACACTGAAGGGGACCAGACCTGTTATTTTTAAAGGCAGCGCATTTTGCACATGCAGAAGAAAGGTTTCTGTGACGATTTAGACGTTTTGCCTGTGAGTGACTTTCTGTGATTGTTCCAATACATTTCCTTTTCATCATTAAAATCAGATTCACACTGAACTCCACTCCTCCTGTTCTCTGAGCTCACAGGGCTAACCCCAGTGTGCTCAATGTTGGAAAACAGAACGTACTGCAGTACGCCCCCTCCCAAGGGGAAACTGTGATTTACAGTCCCAGCAGCAGACAGAGAATTGAGATAAACTAGTTTTGATGGCAGCAACCATGCATAGACACAGCTCATAATGCAGCTATCAAGGGTCCATTGAAGACACAGCATTACGACTGACTTCTCTAGTTCTAGTACTGTTCTAGTTCTCTTAGTTCATCAGGAGAAAGGTCAACATCTTCTAACCTCCCAAACAAAAGCAGCTCAGCAGAATGTGCAAAGCACCCACTCTATGTGCCACAGAAGGACTTCAGTTTAGTACAAAACTTTATTCATACCAATACTGCAAAACTACAAAAGTGAACACAGAATCTGAGCAGGCCTGGAGCCTGTCCCATCCACCAACCTCTGGAACAGCAGCAAGGCCCCAGACAGCTTTATTTTATTAACAAACTAGAATATGCAAAACTTTTCAGTTTAACAGCAGTTTCAAGATTTGGCTCTGAAAGGGGGTGTCTGGAAGAAATCCTCCCCAACAAGCCCATATTGGCTAGATATTTCCTTTGGCCTCATCCTGGAATCAGCTTAGCAATTTCTTTGCCCTTCGACTCATCCGGGTCCAGATCTGGAAATAGATGGTGGTCTCCTTTGTTTAGCTGTGCCAAAATGCCAACCAAGTACTACTGGGACTAGTTTAGGTGTTGTTTTTTTTTCCAAGTTTGAGGAGAATGTGCAGGGAAGAAGAGTAGGAATGGAGGCATCAAGGACTTTGGTTCTTATCGCTGCTTCTCTATTAAATGCGGCAGCTCCCAGCAATGTCTCTGTGTGGAGGAACGATGGGTGAATTGACAGACCGCTTTGATTTCAGAAGCGGATGACTTCTGAGGAAAGGCCACTGGAACAGCCTGGTCTTCATGATGGTGGCCATTTCAGTTTGCTTTAGCTGTTGTAAATAAAGACCTGGTTTTACATTTTTTTACCCAGGTGTTGTGTGTTTTTTAATTTCTCCTCCAGCTCCTGGCCTTGCCCCGGGCTCCTGTCTCAGGGTACTTCAGCCCGTTTCTGCCAGCTGCTGCCCGTGCCCTGCTTGTGCCTGTTGACACATGCTTAACCCTCTGAAACAGAACTGCAACATTTGGAAGTTCTTGGAGAACCTGAGAAGGTATAACCTGTTCGCGTGCTGGAAAATAGCCTCTCCCAGCAGGAAATATTCTGAGAAAGTGCCGTACCTGAGACAATTCACAAGTATGAATTCAAGGCGGGTGTGCAGGGTAATAACAGCAACACAGTAGTTGATCGCCATTTGCCGAGGCGATCGGCTCCGGGGCAGACGCGTTCTGCAGCGGAGCGGGGGATCGGGCCAGGCAGGGCTAATTTTCCGGCATCGAGCCGACTTCAGGGAGCCGCCAGGACCCGGCAGCCCTCCTGAGGGAGGCTGACGAGGCGAAGGCGGAGCCAGCAGCGCCCCCTCCCCGGCCGTTCAACAGCTGCCCCTAGGGAGCGCGGCGAACAGGGCGGGCAAACAGGGAGTGGCGCGGCAGGGCGAGCAGGCAGGGCGAGCAGGCAGGGCGAGCAGGCAGGGCGAGCAGGCAGGGCGAGCAGGCAGGGCGAGCAGGCAGGGCGAGCAGGCAGGGCGAGCAGGCAGGGCGGAGAGCAACCCCCTGCCCACACGAACACCTCTTAACGACAGCCGTTAGCTAGGTGATAACGGTCTCCACCAGGCACGGTGCGCTCTCCAGGAGGTCGGTGTACACCCAGACCGACTGCCCGTTAAAAAATGCAGCGGTTCAGGTCACGGGATGCAGGGAGTGTCAGAGCCTGCTGCTGCCGTCGGCGGGAGGCAGAGACGCTGCGTGCGTGAGGTGCGAGCAGGTGGATGACCTGATCCGCATGGTGGCGGAGCTCAAGGAGGAGGTGGAGAGGTTGAGGGCCATCAGGGAGTGTGAGCGGGAGATAGACTGGTGGAGTAACTCCCTGCAGGGCCTCAAGGAGAGGTACCGGGGTGAGACACCCCAGATGGGGGTGGACCCCCTGCCCTGTCGCCGTCGGGCAGAGGGAGGGGATCTGGGAGTTGAGGAGGAATGGAGACAGGTCCCTGCTCGACATGGCAGGCGATGCCCTCCCCTTCCGGCCCCACCTTCCCAGGTGCCCTTACGAAACAGGTTTGAGGCCCTGGAGATTGAGAGACCAGCAACTGAGGAAGAGGTAGAAAGTGTTCCCAGGAGGATGCCTAGGGCGAGGAGGTCGACTCCACGCCTCAGGACTGCCTCCACCAAGAAAGACAGGAGGGTGATTGTTGTGGGAGACTCTATCCTTAGGGGAACAGAGGGTCCTATTTGTCGGCCTGACCCTACCCGTAGGGAAGTCTGCTGCCTCCCTGGGGCCAGGGTCAGGGACGTCGCCAAGAAAGTCAAGTGCCTGGTACGGCCCACTGACTACTACCCGCTACTGGTCTTTCAGGCTGGTAGCGATGAAGTAGCAACGAGAAGTCCGAAGGCGATCAAAAGAGACTTTAGGGATTTGGAGCGACTACTTAGAGGATCAGGCGCGCAGATTGTGTTTGCCTCTGTCCTTCCGATAGGGGGGATCGAAGCAGAAAGGTGTGCTGTTCACATAAACTCGTGGCTTCGAGACTGGTGTGACCGGCAGAACTTTGGGTTCTTTGACCACGGGAAGGCCTATGCTACACCGGGCCTGATGGCACCGGACGGGAAGGGCCTCTCTCGGAGAGGGGTAAGGATCTTTGGTCAGGAGTTGGCAGGGCTGATAGATAGGGCTTTAAACTAGAGCCGAAGGGGGAAGGGGCTAAAACCAGGTACGCCGGTGAAGACCTAAGGGATGGTATGCTAGAATCAGAGGGGCTGTGTGCCAGTGAGATCCTTCAGTTAGATCCACAAGGTGCTAAGTGTAAGGAGACGCACCTGAAATGCTTCTACACGAACGCACGCAGTATGAGGAATAAAATGGATGAGCTAGAAGTCCTGGCCCAGTCCCGCAACTACGACATCATCGGCATAAGCGAAACCTGGTGGGATGAGTCCTGTGACTGGGGTGTTGCGATAGATGGTTACAGGCTCTTCAGGAGGGACAGGCAGGGTAGGCGAGGTGGTGGGGTGGCGATGTATGTGAAGCAGGGGCTGGACTGTGTGGAACTTCAGGTTGGCGATGGCAAAGTTGAGAGCCTCTGGGTAAGGATCAAGGGACGAACGAATAAAGGGGATGTCGTTGTGGGAGTCTATTACAGACCGCCTGGCCAGGACTGATAGCGCCGATAACTTATTCTTTACAGAACTAAGAGAGGCCTCGAGATTAACTCCCCTTGTCCTTATGGGGGACTTCAACCTGCCAGACGTTAACTGGGAGTGCCACACGGCTGACACGAGCAAGTCCAGGAGGTTCATGAAGCACCTAGACGATAACTTCTTGGTGCAGGTGCTAACGGAGCCAACTAGGAAAGGTGCCCTCCTAGACCTGTTGCTAGAAAACAGAGAGGGTCTGGTGGGAGATGTGGTGATTGGTGGCCGCCTCGGTCATAGCGACCATGAAGTGGTTGAGTTCAAAATTTACGGTGACAGAAGGACAAGTGCCACCAAAACCTCATCCCTAGATATGGGGAAAGCGGACTTCAGGCTGCTCAGGGAACTAGTCAGCAAGGTCCCCTGGGAAGCTGCTCTTGAAGGCCTCGATGTCCACCAGTGCTGGTCATTCTTTAAGCGATGCCTCCTAGAAGCACAAGATCAGGCAATTCCTAAATATCGCAAGTCAGGCAGGCGGGGCAGGAGGCCGGCGTGGCTGACCAGGAACATTCTGATGGAGATTAGGCGGAAACAGAGAGTGTTTCGCTACTGGAAGGAGGGCCAGGTGTCATGGAAAGAATACAGGGATGCTGTTCGTGTTTGTAGGGAGAAAATTCGTGTGGCTAAAGCACACCTAGAGTTGAAGCTGGCTGCGTCTGTGAGAGAAAATAAAAAGGGTTTTTTTAGATATGTGAATGGAAAAAGGAGAACTAAAGAATACAGTATCAAGATCTTACTGCTACAGGGAGGCAGAGAGACAAAAAGCTCTCATTTTGGTTGCTTTGGCCTCTCCATTAGGGACCATGCTGTCTGCAACACTCCCTCAGCCTCCTGATCTCTTCCAGCAGCACTATCTTGTTGTCGACGGAAGGAAGACACAGACGCTCAATATGAGTGATCAGTGAACTTCGATTTATTGGATAGCTCAGCCGTCTTTTATATGATTCAATATAATTAGCTCATACATATTGCAAAAGCTAAGCTCACTATTGGTTAGTGCAACTTTCCCTATCTTATCAGCTAGCTCCTCATTCCCTCAACCGTTATCCCGTCTTAGGTACTTTCCCATCCACACACTGACACAATGCCTTTGTCCCTTGATTGGCTTCCCGCCATCGGCCAGACTCATATGAGCTGCGTTCGATACTTTTTTAGCTCGCGACCTCCAAGTTGTTCAACATTCACATGACCTACTTCACTTAACCATTCCTCCACACTATCTGTCCATTCATCGCTGTGTTTAGGGAGCTTACGGTGACCAAGTCTTTCAATTCAGTTTCCCTGGAGATGGATGAAGTGGCTTTCATGAAATCACCCCAGGAGAGTTGGGGCAGCAATAACAGTACATTTTCTGCTGATACTACCTGTAGCTTGCAAGTACTTCGAGCTATCACATAAGCATACCCACGGTTACGTGTCCCCTGGGTTTAAGTGCCCCTAGGTTAACTGACCTCAAGCACTGCCCTGCAGTTTATTTAGTACAAGGGGCGTGTGAGACGCTTGGTGCTCCCAGGATGCCCTTGTGAGGGGCTGGGAGGGCAGGAGGTGCTTAAGCAAGGTGTGGGGTGCTCCCAGGGCACTTGTGAAAGGGGCTGGATGCACACAGGGTGCTCGGACAAGGAGGGGGGTCTGCCCCTGTCCCCACCACCCCAAAGCGGGGACATGCGGTACAGGGGGTACGACAAGGATGCCCTCGGCCTGGCTGCTGGGCTTGGGGGC